TTAAACCCTAAACTTTCTGGAGGTCCCTGAGCTCCGGGTTGAGGATTTAAGGTTAAGGGTTTCGGCCTTATAGGGTTGGGATGTTATGCTCAATAATAAGGTCTGTTTGTATATTGGGGAGCACCCCAAGCTTAGGGTTTCGAAGGTTTAGGGTTGGGGCTGTCTCGGGCGTGCTGTCTTGAGCAGTTTAGGGTTTAGGGTGTAGGGTTTAGGGTTTGGGGTTTAGGGTGTCTGGCCTTAACCCCTAAACTCTCTGGAGATTTAAGGTTAAGGGTTTCGGGCTTATAGGGTTGGGATGTTATACACCATATTAATGACTGTTAGAAAATTGGGGAACACCCCAGGCTTAGGGTTTCGAAGGTTTAGGGCTGGGGCTTTCTCGGGCGTGCTTTCTTGAGCAGTTCAGGGTTTAGGGTTTAGGGTTTAGGGTTTAGGGTTTAGGGTTTAGGGTTTAGGGTTTAGGGTTTAGGGTTTAGGGTTTGGGGGGTCTGGCCTTAAACCCTAAACCCTCTGGAGGTCCCTGAGCTCCGGGTTGAGGATTGAAGGTTAAGGGTTTCGGCCTTATAGGGTTGGGATGTTATGCTCAATAATTAGGTCTGTTTGTATATTGGGGAGCACCCCAAGCTTAGGGTTTCGAAGGTTTAGGGCTGGGGCTGTCTCGGGCGTGCTGTCTTGAGCAGTTTAGGGTTTAGGGTGTAGGGTTTAGGGTTTGGGGTTTAGGGTGTCTGGCCTTAACCCCTAAACTCTCTGGAGATTTAAGGTTAAGGGTTTCGGGCTTATAGGGTTGGGATGTTATACACCATATTAATGACTGTTAGAAAATTGGGGAACACCCCAGGCTTAGGGTTTCGAAGGTTTAGGGCTGGGGCTTTCTCGGGCGTGCTTTCTTGAGCAGTTCAGGGTTTAGGGTTTAGGGTTTAGGGTTTAGGGTTTAGGGTTTAGGGTTTAGGGTTTCGGGTTTAGGGTTTAGGCTTGAGGGTTTAGGGTTTAGGGTTTAGGGTTTAGGGTTTGGGGGGTCTGGCCTTAAACCCTAAACCCTCTGGAGGTCCCTGAGCTCCGGGTTGAGGATTTAAGGTTAAGGGTTTCGGCCTTATAGGGTTGGGATGTTATGCTCAATAATTAGGTCTGTTTGTATATTGGGGAGCACCCCAAGCTTAAGGTTTCGAAGGTTTAGGGTTGGGGCTGTCTCGGGCGTGCTGTCTTGAGCAGTTCAGGGTTTAGGGTTTAGGGTTTAGGGTTTAGGGTTTAGGGTTTAGGGTTTAGGGTGTAGCTTCTCTTCCAAAAGCGCCCTAAACCCAAAAGCCTTGGGCCCAAAACCACCCAGCCTCAGGTATGGGACGCTTGGTGCTGAAGCATGTAGACGAGGCAATCCAGAGCACTGGTCCGCCCAGCTTCATCCCATCAGCTTTGCAGTGGTGTTGTGTGATCTTCTTTTGTGCCAAGAAGTATGCAAAGCTGCAAAAGTCCCACCTTTTCCCTACCAAACCAAACGCTCTCAATCTCTCCATACCCAAAGTAACCAACCCAAGGGCTACAAGGGGTGGCTGAGGCTTGTCTGGGGAGGGAACTTGGGCGGTTGCCAGGAATTCCACGAGAATAGGAAAAAAGGAGGACCGCGGCCTGATAAACACGAAGGAGCCTCAAATCCACGACCCACCCCCCAGGGGCGAGAAAAAAAAAAAAACGAAAAACTCACAAAACCGCAGCCGCGATTTGGCGCGAATTAGCCGCGATTTGGCGCGAAACGCCGCGAACTGTAGGGGGGGTGCCCCGGGCCATTTTTTCAGGTTTTGTTTTTTTTATTAATTTAAATAGGCAGCCGAATTTTTTTCTGAAAACAAAACAAGCCCCGAAGCCACACTAACAGCCGCGAACAGCGTGGAAACCTGCGGCGCGAGCAGTGAAGCCGCGAACAAAGACACTGAAGCCGCGAAAAAAAAGAACAGCGCAGCCACGAACTGTATATAGCGCAGCCGCGAACTGCAGATTGCGAAGCCGCGAGCTGTAGAAAGGAAACCCGGTCCGTTATAGTGACACTGCATTCAGCCACGTGCCAATCTGTGTGCATGTGCAGCGCATTGCAATATAACAATGTGTTGCATTAGAAATATAGAAATAAAGTTATATTACAACAAAGAAATATGCAACCCTAGGCCCTAAGCTCTAAACCTAAACCCTAAACCCCTAAACCCCTAAACCCCTAAACCCCTAAACCCCTAAACCCCGAAACCCCTAAACCCCTAAACCCCTAAACCCTACCCTGCACCCTACACCCTACACCCTACACCCTAAACCCTAAACCCTAAACATTAAACCCTAAACCCTAAACCCGTGACAATATAAGAACCCAGCAGTGCACTCACGTAATCAGAATCAAATTCTGAGCTCATAATATATTCATACACATCAATAAAAAGAAAATGAATATATTAACATAATCGTATAAAAAGTCTTGTAAGGAATCTGATGTATTAATGTGATAGAATTATAAATAATGCAGAATAAATGAAAATTTCATATTGTAATCATATAAGAATACAATATACCATATAAGAATAGAACAAGAGAATATACTGATATAACAATAACAAGTCTAATCTGGCACTAGGAAATGAATAATTCAAGAAAACAATATACTCATCGTGTATGAATAAATATAAAATATTTAAAACAGAAATTTACAAGTTAATAATATAATCGCCTAATAACATTCCTACTTTCTAGTAATATGTTAATATACAACACTCCTTATAAATATAAAAATATATAAATATATTTATATATATACACACGGAAGAAGATACTAATTCAGATGATTATAGTTTGTGTATATAAATATATAGCAACGGAATAATTGTGCGATGTGTTCTGAATGCTACCCCTGCGGCTTCGAGTCAGCTCTGTGCAATGTGTTCTGGTGTGTTCTTATGGAAGGTTTTGCACGCTGACAGGAACGGAACAACATACAGCAACTAAGAGTTCAAACATCACAACCAGTGCTGCCCGATCCACCATGGCCCTCGCGAAGACAGCCGAGAAAGAGAAGACGTGCAAGGAAGTCCGCAAAAAAGAAAAGAAGGAGAAGAAAGAGAAGAAAGAGAAGAACGAGTCTGAAGCGAAGCCAGACCCCCGCCTTTCCCCACCAGCAGGTCGCAGGCTGAGCTTGAAGACTTCCCCCAGGACCGCCAAGCGCAAAGCTGCGCTGGCAGCGACCACACGGACCAACAGGCCTGAGCCCCCTAAGCGCAAAGACCCAGAAGACCAGAAACCTGAGGAGGCTCAGGCACTGCTCCCAACGGATTCCAAGAAGAAGCCAAAGCCAGACCCAACGACGGCCCCAGCGAGCAGCAAGGAAGAGAAGAAGCAAGCGAAGAAGAAGAGAGCAAAAGCAGAGAAGAAGGCAAGGAAAGCAAAGAAAGCAGCAGCCGGTCTGAAGGACAAGCAAGATGGTGAGAACGGAAGCGACAGCAACGAAGCCGAAGAAGACGCAGGTGAAGCGGCAAAAGGTGAAGTGGAACCCAAGAACTTGCTTGACAGCTTCAATGCTGAGGACCCCTAGGGAGCTGTTTTCAGGGTTTGTCGACCGAACCGGCGTCAATGACTCACAAACAATGTGCACAGGAGAGCGTCACGGAAGACTACCTCGACGGCTTGCTGGCGGAGCTTGAAGACAGTCCGACGAACGCTCCTGCAGACTCTGCAGAGGATGAGGATTCTTCGAACGAGAGCAGTTCGGAGTCAGACGGGTCGAGCAAGTCGGAAGACGAGGCGCAGGAAGCGGGCAGCGAGGCTGCTGGCTCTGCCTCGTCGGAGGCTGCAGAGAGTAGCGACAGCTCCAGCTCTGACTCTGAGCCGGAGGCAGATACAAACAAGGAAGGCGACGCTAACAAGTTGGCAGTCGTGCCGGCAGGCGCTGTGGAGGACCGCTCGGGAGGCAGCCTTGCGCTGGTTGCCCAGAGTGCCGGGGAGTCCACGCAAAAGGCCAACAGCAACGTGATGAATTCAACAAGCAGGGCGGGAACGGTCGGGATGGGATAGGCTGGTGTCGCACTTTTTGTTTTGCACGCCAAGGCATCACGCACAAGCGCGACTGGGACACCTTCACGAGACAATGCGGGAACAGGAAGCTGTTTCCTATCGAGTTGTCGGAGTACTACGACAAACGCAAAAGTGACTTGTTCAACTTGTGGCTCAGCAACGGCAAAGACCTTCAGAAGCCAGGGCCTTAACGTTTACCGTGCAGCATCCTAATGTTATAGGCGTTGTCAAGACTCCACCCATGTCTGTGCGCAGGGTAAAAGTATGCGTCGAGCGCATCCGCGAGAACAAGACGACAGCCAGAGAAGGTGCTCTGGCTATGAAGAAGCGAGACATTCTGAATGTCTACCCCGAGGACAAAGCAGAAAAGCTGTGCAAGAAGTTGTTTGCGCAGGGCCGCTACTACGAAGACGAGGAGTTTCCAGGAGACAACGACGAGATCTTCTACTACGTAAGACAGCCGCGGAAAGTGAATGTGGATGCTGTGACATCTGAGAAGGCGTCGCTGAGCGCAAACATGAAGGTTGGCGATGCTTCGGTGATGGAGCAGATGACGGGCTCCGACGGAGTCTTCGCAGCTGGTGCCATGCCAGCCATGAAGGCAGCCAGCGCTGCTGGCGCGAAGGCTGTCGCTGACATGGTGGCTGGAGACGGAACACAAAAGGGGCAGAAACCCAGGAAGACCCCCAAAGCGGCCAATGAGGCTGAGATCGTCCTGCCGACCACGCCAAAGGACAGAGCGGAAGAAGTCGCGAATGATGTGCTGAAGGCTGTTGGGGAAGCAAAGAAGCTGTGCTTGTCGCTGAAAGGGATGGAGTACAGTGACGACTTGCACAAGGACCTGGGAGCCTTTGCCGGGGACGCTGAGTCCATGTACTTGGATATCAATAAGCTTCTGAAGAAGACGAAGCAAAAGAAGAAGTATGCAGCCAAGTACGAAGACTTCGTGGCTACCTCGACCAAGAAGCTTGAGTGGTACAAGAAAGCAGAGGCAAGCAAACTTCGTAATCGTAGTAGGTCTCAAAAAAGCTTAAGAGTGAGCACATCCCCGTGGAAACTTTCGCAGGCCGCGGGCAAGTCCTTCCTCTCAGCCGCCAAGAAGAAAAAGCAACCAAAGGCCAAAGCAAAGCATGGCAAGGACAAAGAGCAGAAGGGGAGCGCTAAAGCTGCAGCTTAGGGCGCAGGGTGTGATGTGCGGATTCTTCGTGCTTGCGTGTTTTGAGGCCGCGACTAGAGCGACTAGACTGTGTAGTCCGGCCAGCGTGAGCTGACGCAATTTTTGTGCTCAATTTTTGTGCTACTATCCAAGCCTGTAGAGCGACAAGCTCGCGACCTTTGTTCACTGAGAGAAAAGTGACAGCTGAAGCATCAACGTCACACCATGAAGAAGCTTTATTCAAACAACAAAATCATGTGTATCCTCCCACGCAGGCTCGCAACATCGCGCAGGCCCGAGACCAAGGCACGTGCCTTCCAGCCCTTGAAGCCTAAACCTTCAGACAAGTACTCTAAACCCTGAAGACCTTAATCCCGCACCCTAAACCCTTGAAGCCCGAATTCCTTAAACCCTTATAGGCCCTGCATTCCTAAACCCAGCTGACAGAGGTTGCAAGGCCTTGGTGGGCCCCAACGTGGACTACTTTAAAGGCCTCAAACGTTAGGGGTTTAGGGTTTAGGGTTTAGGGTTTAGGGTTTAGGGTTTAGGGTCAAACCCTTATAGGCCCTGCACTCCTAAACCCAGCTGACAGAGCTCAACGTGGCTACCCTCAAGGCCTCAAACGTCTACCCTAAACCCTTAAAAGCCCTAAATCCTTAAACCCTTATAGGCCCTGCACTCCTACCGCCAGCTGACAGAGTTGCAAGGCTCATACCCTAAAGGCCTCAAGCGTTTACCCTAAACCCTTAAAGCCCTAAATCCTTAAACCCTTATAGGCCCTGCACTCCCAAACCCAGCTGACACAGGTTGCAAGGCCTTGGTGGGCCTCAACGTGGACTGCCCACCTTTACCCTAAACCCAAAGCCCTAAATCCTTAAACCCTTATAGGCCCTGCACTCCCAAGCTGACACAGGTTGCAAGGCCTTAAAACCCTTTACCCTAAACCCTTAAAGCCCTAAATCCTTAAACCCTTATAGGCCCTGCACTCCCAAACCCAGCTGACACAGGTTGCAAGGCCTTGGTGGGCCTCAACGTGGACTGCCCACCTTTACCCTAAACCCATAAAGCCCTAAATCCTTAAACCCTTATAGGCCCTGCACTCCCAAACCCAGCTGACACAGGTTGCAAGGCCTGGGTGGGCCTCAACGTAAACCCTAAACATTTACCCTAAACCCTTAAAGCCCCCCAAATCCTTAAACCCTTATAAGCCCTACACTCCTAAACCCAGCTGACAGAGGATGCAAGGCCTTGGTGGGCCTCAACGTGGACTGCCCCAATAAAGGCCTCAAACGTTTACCCTAAACCCTTAAAGCCGTAAATCTTTAAACCCTTATAGACCCTGCACTCCTAAACCCAGCTGACCGAGGCTGCAAGGCCTGGGTGGGCCTCAACGTAACCCATAAACATTTACCCTAAACCCTTAAAGCCCCCTAAATCCTTAAACCCTTATAGGCCTTGCACTCCTAAACCCAGCTGACAGAGGATGCAAGGCCTTGGTGGGCCTCAACGTGGACTGCCCACCTTTACCCTAAACCCATAAAGCCCTAAATCCTTAAACCCTTATAGGCCCTGCACTCCCAAACCCAGCTGACACAGGTTGCAAGGCCTGGGTGGGCCTCAACGTAAACCCTAAACATTTACCCTAAACCCTTAAAGCCCCCCAAATCCTTAAACCCTTATAAGCCCTACACTCCTAAACCCAGCTGACAGAGGTTGCAAGGCCTTCCTGGGCCTCAACGTGGACTGCCCTAAAGGCCTCAAACGTTTTATCCTAAACCCTTAAAAGCCCTAAATCCTCAAATCCTTATAGGCCCTGCACTCCTAAACCCAGCTGACAGAGGCTGCAAGGCCTGGGTGGGCCTCAACGTAAACTACGCCATACACATTTACCCTAAACCCTGCCCTAAATCCTTAAACCCTTATAGGCCCTGCACTCCCAAACCCAGCTGACAGAGGATGCAAGGCCTCGGCTGACGTGGACTACTCTAAAGGCTTAAAACATGCACCCTAAGGGTTTGGGCCTTGGTTGGCCTCAGCGCGGTTTACTCTAAAGACCCATAAACGTCTACCCTAAACCTTGTAACCCTAAATTCGTAAATCCCAGCTGATAAAGGTAGGCCTTGGTGGGCCACAACGTGGTTTTCCCGAAGACCTCTATAAGCCCTAAAGCCCTAAATCCTTAAACCCTAAGCCCAAGCCCTGATAGAGGTTGCAAGGCTTCAACCCTAAACCCAAACCCTGTATCCTGGAAGCCTAACCCCCGCCGCCCCTCCCCCCCCCCGCCCCCCGAAAAGGCCGACCAGCCAGGAGCTGCCCGCGCGGCTTGGAGCGCTGTTCTTTCAAGGTTTAGATTCGGGTTTCGGGTAGGGTTTATATAGGGCTTTGGGGCTTTTGGGGTTTGTAGGGTTAGGGTTTATAGTGTTTGTAGGGTTACTTGGAGGATCGGGGCACTTGGTAAGTAGGGTGTTAAGTATCTTAAAGGGTTCTATGTAGATCGAAGTACCTTACTTATAACCCCACTTACTAAGTACCCCGATCCTCCAAGTAAGGGTTTTCGTTGTAGCGCAAGGCAAGGCTTCGGAGATTCAGTGGTTTTAGGGCTTGAGGTTTTCTATAGGGTCTGGGTTGTATAGTGTGGGGGTTTAAGGCAGATGGTTTCCGGGTTTAGAGGCCACCCCCCCCCCCCCGGGCCCCCGGACATAGCTGTGTAGAATGTGTAGAATCAGGCACTGTCGTTGAATCCAAAGCCTAGCTGTTGCACTTCACTGCAGGAGGTAAGAAAGCGGCTTCAAGTTCAAGCCCTAGACTCCAAACCGTAGACGCCGTAGACTATAGTTCTAGCCGGCTCGAAAAACACCATTGGCAACCACAACAGAAGAACCTTGCAATAGCCGCCAAACCCAGGAGCGGTCCGAACAACAAGAGGCAAGCGGCCAATTGTTGCTCAAGGCACGGGCTTTAGGCGGCACAGCTACGCTTTTGGTTTCGGGTGTTGCTGCGGGCTCCAGGCGCAAACGCTACAGTCCTGTTTCGGGCATGATCGAAGGTTTCAAGGCCCTCTTGAAGAAAGATTTTCTAGCGTAGGAAAGTTGCGGAAATTTCAGACCTGCCCTCGTCGCAGGCCGCTCAAGAGAACGCGATATGAAGATTTGCCTCACAGCCATGCAGCTGAAGAGTTCATCCGAAGCTGATCGACTTTAGCCGCTTTAGCCGTGAAAGCGTGCCGCACGTGTTAACGTGTCCTAAACTTTGACTCTGCGTTCTCTGCAAGGATTGATCGGTGCGGGCAAGACCCACATCCACACAGTGGCCACCATTGCGCGGGCACAAGTCCGGGATGGAGCTCAGCCCCTTGCGGTGGAGATGTTTGCTTCGCTCGGTTGCTATGGCCGGCAACCAGGACACGAAGAAAGGGACTTGCACAGGTGGTTGCAAGGCCTTTACGGCATAGGCCTGGAGCTGTACTGGACAACCATGAAGTTGCAGGCAGGACCACGGGGAGTTCATGCAAGTAGTTGCACCTCGTTTCGAACAGCCCCACCCTACATGCAGGTCCCAACTTCCACCCGTGCTGAAGATGTGGACGTTCCCGTGCTGCTACCGCACGAGATCCTGCATGCTCTCGCTCACGCTGGGCCTGCTCAGGCCGCGGGCGTAGGAGAAGAGTTGCTTTAAAATTTGCTTCCCTGCGTTGCCCTGAAGTTGCGATGTCCATGACGGGCGACCGCGATGAAGCAACGCTGCGGGAATTCTGGGAACACTGCAAAAGCTTGGGCGAGTACAAAGACCATCCAGCTTTGCAAGGGCAATTTCCTTTGGGTAGCCGCTTGTTTGCAACAGGCGACGCCGAATTGTAGCTCATGCAATTCCTGCCGCAGCAAGGGCTCATCCCATTCACCTTCCATTGTGACGGCGCAGAGTTCTACAGCAACTGCGAGTTCATGGTTTGGTCTTGCTCATCCTTGTTCGCAACTGGAGATGTTCCTTTTTTGCAGCACCCCCCCCCAAAAAAAAACGAGAAGGGAGGGGGAGAGGGTTTGGTGCGCCTTCTGTAAGCGGTCCCTCCGTTGAACGGAGTCCTGTACCGGGCCTGCGGGCCGAAAGGAGGTAGGGCAGGAAGGCAAACCAACCCCCCCCCCCCCTCCCGCCCCCGGCCCCCATCCCCCCGCCACCCCCTCAAAAAAATCGAAACAAAGGGCGGTTTAGGGTGGATGGTTTTAGGGTTTAGGGTTTAGGGTTTGGGGTTTAGGGTTTAGGGTTTAGGATTTAGGGTTTAGGATTTAGGATTTAGGCTTTAGGGTTTAGGGTTTAGTGCGGTTTAGGGCTTAGGGTTTAGGGGGGAGGGGGAGAGGGTTTGGCGCGCCTTCTGTAAGCGGTCCCTCCGTTGAACGGAGTCCTGTACCGGGCCTGCGGGCCGAAAAGAGGTAGGGCAGGAAGGCAAACCAACCCCCCCCCCCCCTCCCGCATCCCCCCGCCACCCCCTCAAAAAAATCGAAACAAAGGGCGGTTTGGGTGGATGGGTTTAGGGTTTAAGGTTGAGGGGTTAGGATTTAGGATTTAGGATTTAGGCTTTAGGGTTTAGGGTTCAGGGTTTAGCGCGGTTTAGGGCCTAGGGTTTAGGGGGGAGGGGGAGAGGGTTTGGTGCGCCTTCTGTAAGCGGTCCCTCCGTTGAACGGAGTCCTGTACCGGGCCTGCGGGCCGAAAAGAGGTAGGGCAGGAAGGCAAACCAAACCCCCCCCCCCGCTCCCCCCGCCCCCCTTCCCCCCCCCCGCCCCCAAAAAAAAAGAGACATTCGAAACGAGTCGAAGCACAATAAAAGAGGGCCGGGTGAAGGCGGCCGCAACACCCCACCCGCACGAATCATGAGTTACCCACGTCCCTCCCAGGGAAGTGTCGCAGCATTCAGGGCTATCTTCTGCTGCAAATGCATTCCAGGTTTGGGACATCAAGTTCCCCTGCGTCATCGTTCCGCATGAGTTCATGGCGGATAATGCCGCTGCCCGGTCGCATCGAGAGGGAAGGGTTGCCTATTCATGACAGAGCTATAGGTTCGCGACGATGTCCATCGACACGTGGCCAAGCTGATGGCGTGGTCCATGGAGTTTGCCATGAATGGCAAGGGGCCGGAAGTGGGATTTCATGGGGAGGCCTTTCGGCCAGACAGTCATCGCGGGCGCTTGGCAGGTGCCAGGCTCGGCAAGAACTGGAGGCCTCACTGCACTTGGTGAAAGCGTTGTGTTGCTAAAGTGGGAGTAGGGTGGTTTGTGCCCCTGTAGGGCAGCATTTTTCTCCATGAAGTACGACCTCAAAGCTCGGGTTCAATGCAACTTTTTCAGTCAGCACTACGGGTGCAACCTGGTGTGTGACAGCTGCATGGCGTGCAAGCCTGCAAAGTCCACGGAGCCGTTGATGAACTATCGAGACTTTACCTTGTCTGCCGGCCATCGCCTAAGCCGCTTCAGTCATCGCACGTACGTGGCCATGACCCGCCCGGAGGAGCTTTCACCATGGATATGCATGCCCGGATGGGCTTTGGAAACATGCACACGTGACCCCATGCATGTCATCTACTTGGGTGTTTGCAGAGATCTGCTGGCGTCCTTGCTAGCAGATTGGATGGATGCCAACTTGTTGCCAGCAGCACCCACTCAGCAAGAGCGCTTGCGGCTCTTGTCTTTGGAAATGCACGCGGCGTGCAAGCAGGCAAAGCAACTTGTCTGCAGCCTCATTTGCATGCTGCCTTGCGCTGCCCACGCAGCTTTGCGCCAGGGCCCGTGTGATCTCACGTTGCGAACTATAAGGATTTCATTCCGCAGAAAGTTCTTCACGCTTGCGAACTGCAACCTTGGGAAGGCGGAGTTCCCGGAGCTGTCCACGACATGGAAAGCTGCAGAGATCAAGGTGGTGCTGTGGTTTCTCAGCGTGAAGGCTGTCGAGCTCACGGCGGCTACCGAAGTTTCTTGGCCAAGCCCACATGTGAGAATATGAGTATTTGGTGTATTTCAAGAGACTCAGCCCTGATCTCGCATTTCTCAGGATCCCCTGCTGCAGGCTGGCACAGCCTGCGTTTGGTCCCTCAATGAAGCCATGTCCCTTTTGGACATGCATGACATCATCCTGCCGCAGCAGGAGGCCACGCGGTTTGCAGAGCTTATGCGGCAGTCGCTGCTTTACTGGCAGCTCTTAGCAGGCAAGTGCCACGCTATGGGCAAGAAGTGCTGGAAACTACGGCCCAAACACCATGTCATGGATCACCTGTGCGATGATGTGCAACGCACGCGGATAAATCCTCGCCTGGCCTGTTCCTGCTTCCAAGAAGAATCCTACCTAGGTCATCTCAAGCGCATTGCTGTCCATTGTTCTTCCATGCGCGTGATGGAACGAACTTTGCAAAGACTCCTGCTCCTTCTGGCAGTGAGATGGAAACACTCTCGAGAAGCCATGAACGAAGTGGAAGCGCAGTACACGTTTCATGACCTCATGTGACTCATGTGACAGCTGCAGGCTTGCGGGGAAGCCAAAAGTATCTGCCGCTGCGCTCGTTCACCAGGGCAAACCCTAAAACCCTATAGGCCCTAAACCTTGGCTGAAACAATCTGGCTCAAGGCTCAAGCAGTTCTGGCCCAAACAATTCTGGCTCAAACCCCTCCCTTGTTCTCACATGTTCCTTACGTGAGTTTATAAGCGACAGTTGGCGCAAACGCTAGTAGCTCAGATTGCGCCACAAACACCACGCAGCTATTGTTAAAGCTGTTTATACTTATGCAAAACAGAGTATGAAGTAAAACAGTTTGTTGCTTTCTTTTGCCCGGAATACGCGAGCCCCGAAAACGCTACAATGCCACTTGGATTGTATATACTCCCTGGAGTGCGGTTGACAAACACATGGTCTTTCCGCGAAGCTGCCGTTAACCCGAACACGCTACAAACGCCTGCAATTGCTGTACGAACGCAGCTGCCGCTTTCTTAGCCCGAAAACGCTACAAACGCCAAGTGCACAGTCGCCTCTTGGATATGTGTATATATATACATGTACATGTGTGTACATATATAAACACATACATGTGTGTGTATGAACTATAGTTTTGCGTTGCACACCTTTTTCCTTTTTATAATGCCGCCGTTCGCGTAACCCTAAAACGCTACAAACGCCAATTGCTTTATGAACGCAGCTGCCGTTTGCTTGAATCGCTACAAAAACCAATGCTTTACGAACGCAGCTGCCGTTTGCTTATAACCCGCGAACGCTACAAACGCCAAATGCGCTACCAAACCCACAAGGTCGCCGCTTATATATGTTTCTATATATTGAATACGCTCTACACAGACATGTATGTACATGTTTAATTCTTTTTCATAACGCTTCCTCATATACATGAAGCCACCGTGAACCCGCAAACGCTACAAACGCCAATTGCTCCGCAAACGCCAATTGCGCTATACGAACGCAGCTGCCGTTTGCGTGCGTTTTAACCCGAAAACGCTGCAAACGCCCATTGCTCCGCAAGCGCCACTACAAACGCAGCTGCCGCGTTTGCTTAACCCGAAAACGCTACAAACGCCAAGTGCTCTATCAGCGCACATGGTCGGTGTGTATCTATATTTAATTTGTATACAAATTCATACACATGCGTGTATAATCGGTATACCGATACAAACTTTTTCCTTACACCTTGCGTGAAGCCGCCGTTCGCTTAACCCGCAAACGTTGCAAACGCCAATTGCTCCGCAAACGCAAATAGCTTTTACCACAAACGCCAATTGCTCCGCAAACGCCAATTGCTTTATACGAAGCAGCTGCCGTTTGCTTAACCCGAAAACGCTCTATAAGCTTGTTCCATCGCGTTGCTTTACATCAAGGCCAAGCGCTTGTTACGCTACAAACAAACACCGGTGGCAGGAGACAACGCGGCTCGAGGCCACATTTTGCACTAAACTTTTCTCTACACACGAAGCTGCCGTTTGCTTAACCCGAAAACGCTACAGACGCCAACTGCGCTACACACGTAACGGACTATAATAAATATTAGATATATATATATATATATACGCATCGAGTTCAATGTGTGTACATATACATCCGGCTCTGGAAACCGCCATTCAGATGCCTATCAAAACGCTTCAAACGCCATGCTGTATACAAACGCCGCATTGATACGCCGCCGTAGGCGTACGCCAGCTGCTAGATACATACGCCAGCTGCGCGAGCGTCAGCTGGCGTCTGTTGCCGCAGCTGTCCTTTGTAAAGCTGCGGGCCCCAACGGTGATAGAGTTGATAGAGAATCTTGGAGCAGTTGGCTCAGCGCAAAGCACGCAGTCAGTTTAAACGTCTAAAAAGCATTGGCTGAGGGGCGAACTGGCTGCGCAGGCACTCTGCCACGCACAGCGCATGAGGGAGCAGCCGGCACGAGCGCGAGGTTCCACTTCCATTCGTTCTTCTTCAAGTGGGCACTCCACGACGCACGGTCTGCCCAGGGCGTTCCAATGGTCCTGACACGAGACTCATGCGGCTTCGGCAGATGCTCATAGAATCCAACTTAAGCCAACATTCGCTGTCCTGCAGTGGCGAGGTCTCTGGAACAGAAGTAGAAGCTCCGGGCGAATCTGCCGGTGTCTGCGGCTCTGCCTTTTGGAGGCTCGGCCCCCTGCCAAGGAGCAAAAGAGAGGCTGGACAGGAAGAATCTTGTCGAGAGTCGCGGGCCTCTTCAGGACAGAGCTGAGCGTTGTCCAGAGACCTTGCCACTGCAACGTTTGGATGAGTTATGCACACTGCCTGCTGCAACCAGTTCTAGCCAGTTCAAACAGGCTGCCTTCCACTGGAAGGATCCCTGGCAACACCCTGAACCAGATTCTGAAGGCTGCCATTTTGACAGCCTTGCACCGCAGATGACGGCCTTCCATCAAAGAATTCGTCAAACTATGTCAAATGCCGACGCAAATGCGCGTGAAAGGTCCTGCCTGCAGATCTGGACCTTGGCCGAACGCAGCCAGGCCTGAGAACCAAGCCCCGACCACGTTTTGGGATCCACGATGAGAAGATTCGCAGCACACGCCTGCGCCTGTTGCGCAGCCACGGTGCATGGGTCTGCTCCTGCAATTTTGTTTGCTGATGCCCAAATCTTACAAAAGTCTGCAACACGTGCAAAATCAAGAATCGCGTGGCTCGGGTCCTGCCCAACCAACAGGTCCTTTTCACTTATAAGTAGATTATAAGCCACTCATAACGGACTTGTAATCCACTTATAAGCTGTATAAGTAGAACGTATAGTTATAAGTTACTTGACCTACTTATAAATTACTTATACATCAACCGAGGTTTCTACTTACAACCGAGTTAAAATCTACTTACAACCTACTTATGATCTTGTTTTTTCCAATCTTTTTGACACACATTTTTTCGAGTGTCCTACATGGTTTGGTGTAAAAAATTCCTGTTCCTGCATTGACTGACAGAATGATGCGTGGGCAGGTACTTTACGCGGAATCGTCTGCAGCGCTTGGGCTCTGAGGTGAACGTTCTGTAGCGTGTCTGCTGAGTGAGACATGGCTACGAGAGTCCTGACTTGGGAAAGCGCTTTCCCTCCGAAAAAATAAGCAGGCAGCGGTTCACCCGCTTTGCTGGGGAGGCTTGGTGAAAGGTTCCGGTTTCCCTTAACCCTAAACCTCAAGCCCAAAAAACCTGTATACGCCCAGACCACTTGCCCTGAACTTTATAAGCTTCGCTTCAAGGGTCGTGCGTTCAGGTTTCTGGTTTCAGGGCATGGCTTTCAAGGATTTCAGAGAGATGTGCTCAGAGTCCTCTTGTCCGCTGAAGTCCGCGGACACATCATGACGTTGCTTCGGGAACGGGTCGTCGGAATGTCCGCCGATCATTAGTAAAGAGTAGCCAAACCTTGCATCCTGAATATCTAAACAAAGAGGAATGTCCGCCCAAGTCCGCCGAAGTCCGCGGACGGATTTCAGAATTGTCGCGACAGGGGAGGGATTGTGACGGACTGCCTGCAGAGTTCCGGCGAGCTGGGGTGGCAGCTGGAATTGTTGAGCCCCGTCTCGAAGGAGAAATAGGGATCTGTCTTGCGGAAAACCGGTCACATGGGGGTCGTTTTGGCGAAGTTTCACCAGCTGCCTTTGCTACCTACTTGGCGGCGTTTTGAAGGGGAGTCTTGCCTGAAGGCTGCGCTTGCCGATAAAACCAGCGTAGAACGATGCTGCAAACAGCGGTGTGCCCGCTTTGGCCATAGAGAAACTTTCGCTCGCATGGTCGTCCACTGCATTGCATACATGAGTGTTTCCTACACATAAGCATTTTGTATCTTACTCAAAAAACACTATGTTTTAAAAAATGTTTACCTCTCAAACATTGGTTTTTGAAAAAAACATCCTACTTACGAACTACTTATAAGTAAGTTATAACTTCGCCCAAAACCCTTCCGCGTAACTAACTTATAACTGCTAGCTACGTAACTTATAAGTACCATAAGTGAAACGGTCCTGTTGGAAAGCAGCATGCTCTTGGATCACAATGGGCCACGGAGCCCGTGGCACCAGAACATGGGGAAATAGAGGCTAGCTGGCGTTTGCGCTGAAGATTGAGGTGAGCTGGCGGGCGTGTGAGTGTGAGCACTTCGGTACGCAAGAAGAATCTGATTTTGTTGCCACAACACTGCGGTATGACCTACCGCTTCAGCACGCACATGCTTTCGCGCGTGCGCACGCACGCGCATGTCTCTGCATGGCCTAGAGGCACCGCCAAGGCTGTAACGATGAGCCCTATAGGCATGAACCAAATGCGATACCCCTTTGATTCTAAGCGCAGTTTTCAGATGAATCTTGAGCCATAGCTTGCTGCAGGCAATGCTCAGGTCGACCGAGCAAGTTGACCGTCCAAGTTCAAGAACGCCCAGTTGCTAGGGGTTGGCAAGCAAGACCGAGCTGGCTTGTCGCTTTGGAGGATAGGGAATTCCAATGTGACCGCCAAGTTAGTCTCACAGGGCCCTCCCACCACTCGCCCCAACCTTTTGCCCTTTTGCACCAGTGCTCCATACTTATCCACATGCTTGAGGGGTCAAGGACTTAGTAAGTGGGCATCACTTGACAAGCCCTCGTACAGTGTGTAGGGAGTAGACAGTAGCAGATGTGGGCATTCTGCATGGTTAGTTGTCGATTTAGGGTCCCCTTTGGCGGGGTCCATCGTTTAAGGGTGCCGTACTACATCTAGGCCCTGAACCCTGAAATCCCTAACTTCCATCCCACAACCAGCGCTATAGATCATCCTCGATCCTCTGCGGAAACGTAACGCCATGGCGAAGGCTTCCTGAACTCTTCCTGATGAGATGCGAATGATCTCGCGTGACAAGCATCTTCCCAAATCTTCGTCAGGAGTTCTCCAGCGTGTACGGGTGGGAGGCCAGGGGTCTCAGAGAGTTGCCAACATCGCAGAAATTGGATCATCTCCAAACGACGAATGAGTCCGCCCATCCCTCAGCGCCGAGACAACTTGTTTAGTGCACACCCAACTTCGAATCCCAGGGCCGCTATCAACTTGCAAACAGGCCTGGCATTATTGTTGTGCGCCACATCTCACGGGTAAATCTCTGATCGTAGGAGGTTGCGCAGTGCATCGTGGACCGCGTGTCGCATATGGCAAAGTCTCCCGGCTGCCACTGCCAACTAATGGTGAAGTCTGGTGCTGTTGCATGAACAAGCAGATCGCGAAGAATTGCCACCTGAGCTGCTCAAAAAAATGCAATGATTCAACGCATTGAACACCTCTGGAATGTGCGCGAAACGGCTTCAGCGCTAGTTGTGACCACTTGTGTCCCACGCTCTGCTCTGAGTATCAGCTACAGCAACGAAAGTGAAAGGTGTAGTAAGGCATGGTGCCGACTCGTCCTCATCTCCAGATTCCTCATAGTGGCGCAGCTTCGTAGGGCACATGTCCTTACAGGTGGACATCCTGCCCCTCACAGCTCAGCGCTCATATTATCAGCTGCAACCCGGAACTGTTACTCATCAGCTGCTAATAAGCTACTCTTGACACCAAGCAACTTGCCCCTTCTCCACGATGCAGCAGGTGCTGGAATTAATGCCATAGATGGCTCGTCGATGTGTCTCTGGATGCTCAAGGCACAAAGGCACACGGCGTGGAGGGTTCTTGCAGCGCTCCTTTGGAAAGGACAAAGAACATGAGACGATGCTCTTCTCTGTATCTTTTTGCATTCTTTTTCCTACGAGGATACCGTGTTCCCTCAAGTCCCTGTAACTCCCTTGCAACTCCCTGAGCCCGGAAGGCAGGGAGGGGCGCTTCCTATTTTGGGGATTTGAGAGTGGCCTCGTCCTTCAGCATCGGATAGTCGGGATTCCGTTTTCGGATCTTTGCATCGTGGTGAGCCAGGCTGCAGATGCAGTCCAATGTCCTCAGTCACGTCTGGAAAAGCTGTAAAGTTTCAAAGTTCGCGCATTTAAACACATTTGACAATTGTATTCCATGCAAAAATATTACTGGCTGCGTGAGATTGCCTGCGCCAAGCATCTCCAGCCGTTGCTGCTGTTCGGGCGGCAATGCTTCCCAGGCGGCCACCGCGTCGGCAAAGCAGGTTGCGCCACCTCTGGGAGGCGCCTGGCGGCAAAACAGCGCCGTGCCTGCCAGAGCTTGGAAGGGCACATTGGCGACTTGTCGTGGCAAGTGCAGCAAGTCTGCTCTGAAGCTGGCCTGCTTCTGGCGTCTCCTTGAAGGTACCGTCCGTGTGCCACACGGGCAACCGATCATGAGGGCGGTACTGAGAAGAGCCATCCCGGCCCAGAACCTCGTCCTGGGCAAAATTCCGGAACGGCGAGCTCGGCTTTTCGAAGTCTCCAATTACTCCAATTCCTGGCTATCAAGAATCTGCTCCTTGGACGAAGATGGCTGGGAGATGAGATTGCCCGCCGCATCACGGACGTTCCCGATTCGCAGCACGGACGCACCTATCGTCGTGTGAAGAACAACACAGTGAAGGGCAGTAGTTACTCCATCAAGCCGATGCTCACTCTTCTACTCACACTCTTCTACTCTTCTGACATCTCTCAATGTCTCAAAGATCATGGTCTTGTGTTGCTGGCCTGGACCAAGCGATGCATGAGCACGGCCTGCAAAGTGCGCCACCGGTTTGCACATGGTCATGTTGTGGCACGCTACATGCGTGTAGGTGTGAGAGTTGCCGGAAACGACTGTTCAGCAGCGTGTTGTCAGTTTAAGCAGCTAGGTTTTCGGCGGTTTTGGATACACTTCTGGAAGCCACGCATTTCACGACAATGCAACACCGACAGGTGCAGGCCTGCAGGGACAGGCCCCAGTGGGCCAAAGTGTGAGCTGATTGTCACCAGGTCGTCGGGGGTCATGTCTTGAAGGCCACGAATCACAAGCCTTGGCGTTGTGTTGTCATCAGCGCTCACAAGATCCAGACCATCCAACGTTCCAACATGTAACATGGCCTGTTGGGCCCTGGCAATCTCCTCTCCAGCCATTTGCCGCGCAACTCGCGGCCCACATCGGGGCACCGCAGCGCTGGCAGCGATGTGTTTGGGACGTGGATCAGGGCTCCGAAGTTCTCCGAGAGGCGCCTCGGCTTGGCCGTGTCAGAGATGGCACACACAGCGCGAGCGCGTAGTGCGGAGTCACTCGCGAAGATTCGCACGCGCAGAGTGCATCCAAGGCGGCTCTTCTGCCAGGCAGGCGAGGGCTGCGACGCCGCGCGAAGCACCCCAAAGGCCCGAAGGGAGCGTCGGCTTCAGCCCACGGACCACCCTCGAGGTGCTCTCTCTCTCTCTCTCGGGGGATTGTTTTGTTTATCCGGTCCGGCCAGGATTCCGAAAGAAACTGAGTGCTGGTCCACATTCCGCCAGCAGTTTGCGGTCTTCGCGCCTGATCAGTGCCACATATAGCGAGCAGCGAAATACCATTCGCATCTGTTTGGGGCGCGGACGGGTGGTTGGGGTGATGTGGGGTTGTGGAGTGTCCGTGAAAGAGGCGAAGGAGGCTCTCTGACTCCAGTGAAGGAAGCAGAGCCCACGTGAGATTCCACAGCGAGCAGCTACAAAGTCCCATGGCCACTTGGTATTCGCACCTTAACCCGCAGCACCCGCCTAGGCCCTCCTCGTATGTGCTTTTGGCAGTGCAACGAGCCTGGGTTCTCTGCGTCAGCGGCCCAGCGCACCTCGCTGCATCATGGAGGTGGGACCATGGCCATCTGCAGCGCCCCTTCAGATACAGAAGCCCCAGAATGACGTCAAAAATCTGGAGTTCACTGTGACACTCTAAAAACCATATCTCTGGAGACTTCTCGACTCCAGTACAATTGTTAAAAGTAGCTTCACCATTCTGCGCCAATGTGCCAATGTGCTGCATGATCCTACGTGCATGTCGCAGCTACCTTGGCTACTTAGTACTTCACGTGTCGGACTAAACGCGGATCGGACCTGGTCGGGCAAGGCAGCGTCGCGGCTCAAGTGAGATCTGCAAGCGCCAGACAACAACCTTAAATACACCACCAAGTCGAACGACACCCTCACCTGTTTTGGCACGGTGACTGTCGTCGGGAAGATCCACAACGCAGAGCTCATGCAGCGTGTTGAAAGAAGACGGAACCATCCGCCACGCGCACTGCGCCGAGTGAGGCTGCATCCTTGACCAGATGCAGCCTCACCCGCGGCTGCAGCTGCGGGCGGAGGCTCTCTAAGAGGTGGTGCTTGAACCACCAAAAGTACTGAGGTAGCTTGTGAAACAGTGCCCCATCAAGGACGACCTCCATCAGCTCCATCTTGCCGGCCTTGGCCCGCGCCAGGTTGTCCAGCACTGCCGCCAACGCCTTGGCACAAATGGCTGCGGACCTGGCGGTCACGAACTCGCAGCTTTGGATCGCCCCACTGTCAGCCGCGCTGCAGGCCTCCATGGCCTCCATGCTTGTGGCGAGCTCTTGTTTCGGACAAAGAGTACCCTCAGCTGGCTGCGCATGGAGCCTTTGAACAATTCTTGGAAGATAGAGGCCGGAGACCATCCGCTCCAGATTCACCTCCCCGCCATTGTTGGCATCACGATCCGCCTGAAGAACTGGCAAGCCACTTGTGATTCCACCCCACTCTGTAGACAGCACCTCACGACACTCCTCCGACTCGCTGCCCGACTTCCTGCGGACGAAGCAGGCATTTGTCCCCGTCCCCACAACCACGGCAGCATCGGCCACGACCTCCGAGAGAGCAAAAAGGGAGGCCACGCAATCGTTGAGGACCTTGGTGACCTTCAGCGGTAAGCGCCTCCTGGCCAGCGCCTGAGCCATGAGCTCCGCCAGGTTTTGACCCTGAATTCCCGGGGTGGCCCAGTCTTTGGCCCAGTGCGTCAAGGTCACGGCCTTCGTTGGCCCAAAGGACTCAAAGGACAGCGCGAATGAGACGACAAAGCAGAGCGGGATGGCTTGCCCTTGGCCAGCATCCCCATGGCGATGGAATACCCTGGCCACAACATCCGCCATGAAATCGAAGAGTTCGTCTGGCGAGGCGTCTTGTGCCTTGAGGTGCTCGCTGATGATCTCCGCCTCACCGGAGTATCTTTCCGCGCCCGCTGCGAAGCGCAAGACCCGCAGGGTGCTTCCACCCCAATCCACCACGTAGGTGAGTCCTCGAAGATTTGGCTGAGCAACTGCGGAGCATCGCCCAACCACCTTGGAGGACTCCATGATGGCTGCATGCAGTGCATGCAGTCGCGTCGAGTCAGGGAAAAGGAGCTGCGCGAGGTCCCTGAGGCGGTCAGCAACACCAGGAACTGCACGCGGGTACGGAGGGTCCTTCTTGAAGCCGTCTGGGTTCGCCCGAATAAACTCCCATGCTGAGGTCAGGATCTGGTCCAGTTTCCTGGTTGCCCTCCAGCCCAACACCTGATGTGCGAGGCTTGGGTCTGCCACCGCGAAGGCGGCGTCACCTGGGCGCCGGGCCTGGACATTGGGGGCCAGGCGTCGGCCGCTGGCGTGGCTGAATGCATCAAGCACCTCGAACACGGTGCTGCCCTCACCGCTGCCCAGGTTAAAGACCTCCAGCTCCTGCGACTCCTGCAAGTCCAAGCGCCGCAGGGCTTTCACGTGGGCATCTACAAGATCCTGAATGTGTATGTAGTCCCTGACGGCAGAGCCATCCCTCGTGTTGTAATCTCCTCCAAACACGCTAAGCTCGCCTTCTCCTTGCAACGCCATCCTCTGCAGCAAGGGTACGAGCATGAGGGGTGTCCCATCCTTTGGTGCTTCGCCCAGTTCATTGGAATGCGCGCCAGCTGGGTTGAAGTAGCGAAGGCTGCAGCCGCGCCATCCACTGCTTTTGATCAGGTCCTTCAGGACTGCTTCCTGCCGCAACCTCTGGGAAGCCGCAGCATCCCGAACTAGAGACTTACCAACTCAAAAAAGCAGAAAAAATAGCAGAGCACAGTAGAGTAAAGACCGTGCTTGCCGCGGCGCTTGGTCTCTCCGTATGGGCAGGTGGGCTCCAGCGGAGCAGTCTCGTCTATCTTTTCGGAAGATGGCCGGTAGACCGTGCAGGAGCTGGACAGCAGAGCCCGCGAGGAGATGCTATGTTTTGACAACACCCGGACCAGTGTCTCGAAGCCCCCAACGTTGTTCTCTCTGTACAGTTGGGGCACCTCCATAGACTCACCGACTGACTTGAAGCCCGCGAAGTGAATCACGGAGTCAAACTGCTCAAACACTAAGGCTTCTTCCAGGCACGCTTCATCACATAGATCCACGACCACGAGCCTCAGTCTGGAGCGCAGCTCTTCCACCGCCACCCTCTCGGTGGCAGATAGCAGCTGAAGCACTCGCCCCAGGGACTGCGAGCTGCCACGAGAAAGGTTATCGATCACCACCACCTGCCATCAGAAAAACCTATACTTCAGTGTTCGTAGCTATATCTCAGGTATATATGTGTGAACTTGTAAACAAAAACAAACACATAAACAAACATATGACGTGCCCAACAAGGTTCGGAAGTCGACGAATTTGTGGAGTGGGAGATTGTGGAGTGATGGAGTGGGGATTTCTAGAACTGAAACATCCAGAGGCAAGCTGTCCAAATTCCGGAAGTCTAGAAAAGAAGAGACGGCCAGCTAGTGAAAATCCAGAAATTCAATTCAGACAATTCCGAGGCTAGTGGTTCAAATCTATATGCAAACTTGGGGCCAAAGGGCTGAATGCTTCTTCTTCTTCTTCTTCTTCTGACACTCAGTGCTAGCACGAAGCTGGCGCTGTAGCGCTTAAGGAGCTGTAGTTGGGCGGCCTCAGAACGAAGACATAAAGGCACAGCTCACACCAGTACTAACAGCGAAGAACAATATTGAGACCCTTAGCACACAGCAGGCCTCATTAAATCAGTCCTGATTCGAGTAGACCATGACTGCATGGCGTGGGTGCTGTTGCTTTTCAGGTTTGGGCTATTTAGTACAGGTTCGCGGCGCTCGGAATACAAGTGTCATGCTCCTCCTACGCTCGCAATTGTTGATCGTCCACGCATCAAGGTTGTTCCTCCCTGCCTCGTAGCCGGCCTGGAGAAGGCCAAGAACCGTGTGAGATCCGATGTAGCCGCACCCGCCAGTGCAAAGGACCCGGCTTTGCCCGCGCCAGCCAGAGCGCATCGCACTGCAGCCCACAGACCGGGTCGGGCGTTCGCTGGACGGGCGGCCCGCGCGCGCTACAGCCAAAGCCAGCAAGCTGCACGAAAGCCAGCCATTCCCACGGCCACTTTCCTCGCCCGTGAGATGGCCACCCGTTCGCTGTGTAAGCTGCGCCCTCAGCGGCTGGAGCGGCTTCGGCCCGAGCGGCTGCCACCTGAGAAGGCTCTCACAAGAGGAGGCGTCAACGGGAGCGCAGCGCACACTGAGGTCGCAGCCCAAACGAAGGGATCATGCTTGGTCAAGCGCACTAAGGTTTCTAGCTTGGTGGCTTGGGCAGCAAATGGCACACCCTCTTGCCGGCATATGCTGGCATCATGTGTACCTGTTGAATGCTGTATATCTTAGCATGCGCAGAGGTCTGCAATGGCCAAACTCTTTCTTCCTCATTCCGAAATAGAGACTGGGCATGTCGCGACATGCAGAGTTGCAGCCTGGAGGTCCCGAAGGACGGCTGAAGTCTACATGCCATCTTGACATGTATGTCACAAAATGTTCCTGCAGCAAGCAGAGCATCGCTGTTCATGTCTCTGGTTGCTTCATTGAAACAATGACAGAGGGGAGCGAACTCATCTCATAAAGCTCGGACTGGGCAAATCCGGCACCTCTCAACAGCTCGTCCATTTCGCTTCGGGTTCTCTCCTGTCCGCCTGTGACGGCCAGGAGATGCAGGTCGCAGAGACTTCCGCTGAAGCCCTCTTCTGGCCGCAGAAACCTGGCTCTTCCAGGCAGGGACATGCAACAAAGTTTAACCTTTGCGTTTCAATCGAATTGCCAGTTGCTATGCCGCCAAAAAGACTTTGTCAAAGCGCGACGTGTGCAAAGCACGCCCCCGACTACCCACTGAATCTCGGACCATCCTCCACATCACTCCACGTTCCCAACGCCTCGAACACAACACACCACCCCCTCCACCTTGACCGCCTTGACTCGACCCTCGACCAAGCCCCAACCTCTCAACATGACGCCAGAAAGCTCCACCACCGCCAGCCGCCCTCCGTCTTTCAAGGCGCCAGCTGCTGTGCGCAGCAAGCTCAGCGCCGCCTGGTCGTAGAAGTCATGGAGGACGCGCGCAAGAAGCACTACATCTGCTTGCGGCACCTCAATAGTCAAGGGTTCTTTAGGGTTTACGGGTTAGGGGCTTTCAGGAGGGTTCAGGGATTACGGGTCTTAGGACTTCGGGGGCCTTCAATACCTGCGAAATCTAATCAGGCAATGTGCGCTTATTGGGGGTGCCTCGCTGATCAAAAGGAGCCTCAAGAGAAGTGTCCACTTAAACGCATCGGAGTGCACAGAGTTCTTAAACATGGCGCCTCCGAGCTCCAGTCTGACTGCAAATCCACCGGACAAAGGCGTAGCCCGCTGGGCAAAGGGTCCTCGATCTGTTCCAGAACCTCGGGAAGGTCGAGCACAACGACTTCAAGCTCCGGGTACTCGGCCAGCAGGAGCTTCGACAGCGTGCCGGTGCCACCTCCCACATCCAAGACCACCAAGGGCTTCTGAGAAGGCTTCTGGTCCAGAAAACGAAGCACCTTCGGCACTTCACCGTAGTCGTGCCTGGCGTAGCTCTGCAGCATCCTGTGATGGGAGGCACACCGGCTGGCAGCCACCTCCTTGAAGATGCTTGGGCTGGAGTCCTGGGAAAGCTTGGTTGCCAGGCTGGCCCAGGAGGCCGTCAGGTGCCGGCCATACTCCTGAGCTGCGTCTGCGAGCGTGAGCGGGTGCCGGCGCTGCAAGAACGCGCCTTTCTCGGCGGCCCTCCAAACCTCGCTGACCTCGCTCGACTCGCAGGGGACGTCCTTCTCGACATAGCCCAGCTCGGCCAGGCCAGCGAGGAGGCGGCGGAGCTTCTGAGGATTCTGAGCTCCGGTGGCCTTTGCCAGGTTTTCGAGGCTCGCAGGGAGCAAGTCGAAGAGCTCCAGGTCCACGGCGGTGCACAGCGCCTGGGTCTTCCAGAAGCCAACCAAATCTGCGGACACAGAGCTGAAGGCATCCGCATGCTCCCCAGCCGCTGGCTGAATTTCCACCAAGCGCTCTCCACTTTCGTCAATCACCTGAGGGAAGCACATCAAGAGCAGAGAAGGACGGGACTGGACCTGCAGATGCAAACGTATGGGGGTCGTCCTCTCGTCCTCCCCTGAAACGAACCAAAACCCTCCTAACAGTCAATCCCCACAAGTTAATATGGAGCGGGATTGCTTCTTTTCAAGGAGACGTGACTATCCCATTTAATCTCAGCAGGGTCCCGTACTTCTTCGGGAAACTCCCCGTCCTGACAACGCAAAAACCCTATAAGCCCCAAACCCTCTGTACCCTGAGTGAAGGTCCGGAAGCCTCGAACCCGCCGTCGAAGCACTGGACCCGTGCCTCGCATCGCACATTGACATCCACTGACCGCCACCATACCAGCAAAGAGACGCGCAGGTGTTGTACTACAACAACCATAACTTATGGCACGCCCACTTCTTCAAAAGTATCACGTTTGCCTGGCACCCATGGCACCCTAGTTGCCAAAAAGGCCCCTCAAACCCCAAGAAAAGCCCCAAACAATCAAAATCCTAAACCCCAACAAGGACGGTTCCGCCTGGCCATTGTAGAAGGGCTCCACCAGCTTGAAGCGGCGCTGGTACTGTGGAGCACCCGTCTCGTCGACGTGCATCCACCCCTTGGTGTCCTTTTGCTGTGGCTGAGGGCTATAGAGGTTATATATAGAGTTTCTTCTGAATTGAGGGGCGGGTGAGTGGGTTCCTTGCTTCCGTTGTTTTTTTGGGAGGGGGAGGGGGGTGGGGTTGGTTGTGTTTTTATTCGGGGTTTAGGGGGTTTGAGATTTAAGTTTGGGGTGCTGGGATTTCCTCCGTCCCCTTTCCCCCTCAACACCCTATGGACCATGGAGTCCTTGGCGCGGGCCAAACCCTTGTGGTAGACGTCCAGGTCCCTGAACCACCTTCCGTGGAGGAAATTGCCTTCCGCGTCGACGTGCGTGGCCGACCCCCCCCGGTGCACTACTGCGGAGCCCTCGCGGAAGTCGCCGGTGTAGTCCCAGGACTCGGCGTATAGCTTGTGGCCGGACTCATCCAAGTGAAAATACCGGCCGTTGCCGCGGACCACGCAGAAGTGGGCCTGGAAGTTCCCGCACCAGTCCTCGGCTGAATCTTTGCCATATGCCTTAACAGATGATTCCACGGAAGCTTCCAGCTATAGTATTTTCCCCTTCATTAAAAAGGGTCCAAGCGACGTATCGCTCTGTGTAAAGATCTTGGCCTGTTGGGAGGATGTGGTGCCAGCCTTCAGGCGAGATCACCGCGGCGCGGCCTTCATAGAAGCCGAATGTGCGAAGGAATCGACTCTGGTAAGCCTGGTGCCCGTCTGCAAAGATGTGCCACGCTTGGCTTCCCCGTCGCACAGGGGCCAGGCCAGGGGCATGGAAGGGTAGCACCTCGTCGAAGCGTTCTTCGTAGAGGGGCTCACCCGAACTGTCAGAGCTTTCAGAGCTTTCAGAGCGCTCAGAGTCCCTGCCCCCGCACTTCACGTGGTGGCGCCGGTCTCTGGACACCTTCGAGGCCCTCCAGGCTGGGACTGGCTGCGGGCCATCTCGGTGTGCTCGGCGAGCTCGGTGTGTCCGGGAGATGTTCCTCCCCAAGTGGAGGCCAAAGCTGAGCCCAACCACTGATTGGCCAGTCAAGCGCATCTGACGTGGCCTTGTCTGGGTCCTCGGCAGACTTGCGGGGCGGCGCGTACTAGGCGGAGGCCCCGGCCCTGGACGGCAGGCAGAAAGCATCTTTAACTTTGGAAAAAGCACATCTTCACGTTCAGCCTTCTTGCGCCTTGCGGCTGCAAAATTTCGTATCCTTGTGCATGGAACAACAGCACGCTTGACATGGACCTGAATTTACGGGGGCTGGCCACGCCGCTGGTCAACACGAGCTCGGACTCACAGCTAGAACCAACATCAACAAACCCCAAGGCCTGGCCCCAAGGAAGTACTCGGCTAGAGGAATCCGCCAACTCCTACTACCCCGACGCAGGCTACCGCGGCTACAGGTCATGTTTAGGAAGGAGGCTGCCAACTCAAGAACAGCGAGCAGAGCCTCTTTCCTGCCTGCTTTGCTGATGTCCGATCAGACAGGCAAGCCTGACTGCGGGCGGGTAACGTTTTGTTTCACACGGTCCTGCAATTCGCCTTGAAAGACTCACAAAGGGGATGGACTTTCAAGCGAATTGGCGGCCCCGCTGCCGCACACACTGCGCTGGGCGGAGCGGTAGAGCGGCTCACGACCTTTGTGGCCGAGTGACCACACGAAGAAAGCAACGGTAGTACAGCACCAGGCGAACGAGGCTGCCAACCAGCATGCCAGAGCCAAAGAGGCGCATGACGGCCTCAAGGTTCACGTCAACTACGCCAATGGAGTACACTAGGAAGGCGGAGCCATAGAACCCAACATTGGAAACCAAAGATACGAGCGCCAGCTGGTCCGTCAGGCCGAAACCATAGAAGATCGAGTCCAGTATGGTAGCGAGCATGTAGAAGAAATAGAAGGGCAATAGCCAGCCCACGATCTTCAGGGCCTGCGCCGGGTCCTGGACATTGAGCACCATGTGGAAGAAAGCAGGCCAAGCGGGCATGCTGAGCAGCCAGCTCACGAAAAGCAGGGATGAAAGGAGCGCGTAGGCAGGCAGCAGCGGGAAGTGGGCTGACGGCACCCTCGGCCGGCAGGACACTTCCTGTTTCAAAAGCTCCGCTAAGGGCACAAAGAGCAGCAGGAGCCACTTCCAGATGAAGTTGTTGGCCAGCCAATAGTTGCCAGACTGGTGCAGGATATTCACCATCCGGGCCACAAACACCATGTAGCTCAGGTTTCGCACAAGCGAGACTACAGCTGCCCAGCGCCCCACACGCCACCAGCTCCCCAGCCAACCCCAGGCCGCAGGGGCGGACATCGGGAGTTGGCGCAAGGCGTAGAGCAGGACGACTGCGTAGGTGCCTCAAAAAAACGGGATAAAGAGCAAGCCTAGTTTAGGCATAGACGGCTTGGGTGAGCTAAGCGAGCTACGATTTTGCTGACACAGACAGCCAGCTCACTGGGCGCACGGTCCGCGCCTTCATTGTCGCCGAGGCACAGATGTTCGAGATCGCCAAGCCAATGACTCCCAGCCGAAGGGAGCCAGGCAAACTACTTACGAACAGATAGTCGAAAAGCACAGTCAGCAGAGTTTGCAAAGCGGTCATTGCAAGTATTGCCCGGTCTCGCTTCAACAGCACGAAGACCACATGCGTGAACTTCTCCAGTCCCTGAATGATAGCGGCAACCATCTCCCAACGGATGTACCGGACAGTCTCTGTCCGCAGCCCATGCTGTGGAGCCTCGATGCATGGAGCATCCATTGGAACTCTACTTGAATCTCCGCCAGTCATGAGGACCATACGGTTGGTTGGGGTCTCCATAGGAAGGGTTAGGAATGACCGTCCCCTTTGGAACTCCTACTTAGGAGTAACCATTCTGTGATGCCAACGGACCAGCAGACTGAGGACCCAGCCATGCTGTCAACTAGCGGTTCCGCAAAGATCACTACCAGCAAGGAGAAGAGAGTATAGCAGGTCAGTGTGACCACGACGCCAGCTCTCACCTCGGGAATACTGAAAAGGGCAGCGAGCCCATCGGCATGATGGGGGATAGGGGAACCGGGCCATTCACCCAGCCAACCCCAACAAGCGAGAACTGCCATCATGCATCATTGCCAGTGGCCTTGCTTCGCGTCACCTGTTCTTGACCGGCGGTCTCCTTGGCTGCAGGCTTGTGGGACACAGGTGACCTTCGGACGTTGCGGCAAGACACGAAAAGTCTTTGTGCACTCAGAGGCTCCCCAATGCAAGGGTAGAGCGGAACCTTGCGCGATGATGCATCAGTCAATTAGGCGAACCCTTTATAAGGATGTACGTTGCCGGCAAGGGGAGGTTGTTTGTTGGGACCCATTGTGCTATGAGCTCAGAAATACGCCGACATTGTCACTACTGGTGTTTTTGCCGCCTACCACCAGGTTAAATGCAGAGGAAATCAAGAGGCTGATCAGATGGCACAGGTCCCTGATCATCTCCTCGTTGTGCCAAGACATCCAGGACATGCAAGGTCAATAAAAGTCTTGATTATGACACATGGCTACTATTCACCTTTAAGCTAAACACCCCTCTAGGCCTGGATCCCCGATTCATTGGTGCGCAGCCACCAGAGCCCAAATGACCAGAATGAACTATCACTATCTCGCACACATTCTGCTCGACGGCCCATAGCTCCTGATGTTTGCTGGTAAGCAGCAATCAGGGCCTCCTCCATAACCTCCGCGGCGCAGCGAAGCTCCAGTCCCAAACCCCCACGAAGTTACTCTCAACTTCAGAACCCGCAAAACAACTCTGGAAAAGGAGGAGAACGACCGTCTGCCTCGAGCAGCAAGCTGACCCAGTAAAGTTGGGAGGCGACGTCAACGCCGCCTGCCTGTTCATCATTACATGGTTGCGCAGTGTGCACGACACTCTCATCGTACTGTATCCCCCAACCCATGCCCCGATGACACTTATATAGGACTGCTCAAGCGCAGACCTGGTACCTCCTAACTACAACACGATACGCAGGAGAAGGGGTACCTTTGGGCTCTGTACAAGGCATGGCAAGGTGCGACAGAATGACAATGTACCAGCGGCCCTACCAATAAGCAGTGAGCCTATAGTCTCATGATTTAACGGGTGTTTCCCGCCCTGTCCTGTGGAAGCTGTCCCAGGAAGTAGATTCGCGTGGTCGTGTAGACCTCGTTAACTCGTCTGTGCTTGCGATGCTTCCAAGCTGAACGAAAGCCGCTCTTCTCACTTTTGGTTCGTTGGGAATGAGCTACGACTGACACCCCTGAAATCCCTAGCAAAAGCCCTTGAAAGGAACCAAAAGTGATGGTCATTGCGGCATTCCCAACGAAACAGCCATGTAGGTTTTCAGCGGAGGGGCAGTCGGCATCGCCGCCTTCAGCAGCAGCGCTACATAGAGGCGGCAGTTCAGCATGCGGAGAGATCTGCACAAGCAGCCTGGGGACCTGACCGGCGATGAGGGAATCATGTTGAAGAATTGGGAGTCAATTAAGGAAGCCCATCCCTAATGGTCCCGGCAATGCCCCAAATACTGACAGCAAATCATTTGGCATTCGAACAACGGTCGCCTTGTTGGAGCTTCATGCCGCACACATAACTCCTGCGCTGGCAACCCGCATTCCACACTTTCATCTTGCAAGTATAACCATGCTCTCAGGGAATGGGGAACGGATCCCGATCCCCCCCAGTCATGGGCGAGAAGCCTGTGTCGTGCACCTGCTGCTGTGGAAGTTTTACGCCTGCCTGTGCGCACGAGCTCCAAGAAGCTGCATGCGGGCATCTATTGGCCGCATGCAGCATCTTGGCAGCTGCCTTGGGCTCTACAGTGACTCTACACTCTATACAGCTTCTCAGAGAAATCTTTGCCATCGTAGCGGAAGCACTCCGTGCCTCCCTCCTGCCACCACACCGCCGTCTCAAGGAATTCAGGTTTCCGCGGCCTCTCAGCCTGTCCTCTCGCAAACCAAGCAGCGAGGGCATAAAGGAAGACATCGTGCGTGCAAACCAGAACCAGCTCCAGCGGAGCGGCGCCACCTCTCAAACACTGCGTGTTGTGCGAAAACGGGGTGGAGATGCAGATGTTTTAAGCAGCCCTGGAACCGTTGAAAATTTGTATAGCTCTGGGTACGACTGCTATTGCTGTAGTACAGCAGCAGCAATTAAACCAGCATCACTTACTCACAGGAAGTGCACGCTGCACCCTTGACGAATAACTAACACAAGAAGAACTGACAGCAAAACAGGTTGGTGCCTTCCGTGTCGGCCACGACTTGGCAGGGCCAGCAAGCCTCGCGCAAGTTCTGGACAGTCTCGCGCAGCGACAGGAAGCCAGGCACCCTCTCGTCACAGCATAGCCGTTCCAGGATTGCTGGCCAGCCAACCGCGCGCATCTCATCAGCGGCTTCCTTCTCCTCACCAGGTCTGTGCGTGGCATTCATGAGCGCCGCTCTGAACTGCACGGGAACATCACAACTGCCCGCCACCGCCTGAATTGTCTCAACACATCTGGGCACCTCGCTGCTTAGGAGCTCCCCTGGCTCAAGACCTCGTGCTCGCAGCGCTTTGCCTAGCTCCTGGCTGCGCAGGAGGCCGTCCGCGGTAAGGGCGACCCCGTTCACCCCCTGCCAATACTCGGCGTCTGAAGCGGTGTCCGCATCTACCGGTGCCGCCGGTGCCTGCTTCTCGCCGTGACGAAGGAGGACCACCACCCTTGGCACTCCCGCTGCTGCCAAGGACGCGACCTTGTCCAAGGAGTCGTGCTGGACAGAGCCGACAGCCGACAGTCTGCGCACACTGAACCCCAGAGGCAATATCGAGGGCGGCAGCAACGCAGCGCCCAGAACTGTGAGGAGCCGAAGAGGGCGCTTGTGAGATGACATTTCGCGGGTCTCACTGGCTGCAATTGGGCACATGAAAGGTAGTCAATCTGTGCACAACTTTGAAATCTTTGAGCAGGCGCGGCATCCAGTCACAAGGAATGTAGAAAGCTGACCCGCGTCACGAAGACCTGTTCATGCCTCCTGCAGCAGAGTACCCGTGCGGTCCTCTTCAGACAACGCTGACTGCATAGCCTGCCTGCGCATTGGGTAGTTTTGAGGGTGGGAGACGACGCTCTTGCTTCACAATCTCATGAGCGCATCGCTTGCGAGAGCTTGCGAACAGCAACTGGCCTTGGAGCATCTGGAATAGGATGCACCATGAGGCTGACGGCTAACAGTCTGCCCAAGTGCTCGAGCCCAAACCCAAGTTGGTCGCTCGCGCGAAAGGTGCAGCCTCAGACTCCACGGCATGCCTCAGCTCTCCATTTATCTTCTTATTAACCTTCTTCTAACCTTCATCTTCATTCTGCTCTCCGCATCGATGGCTCTGGTGCTCCCAAATCGCATCTGTACTGGGAAGCTCAATCTGCTACAAACGGTCAGGGCTTACTCAAGTCTCAAGTTCATTCGGCAGCGATATGCTGCAAGGTACTTCGTCGAAGCTGTGATCAACCTCTTGGCTTTCACAGCTTCGCCTAAGGACACCTTTCACGGTCGTGCGAAGCCCGGCAAAACGGCACGACACCAGGGATTGCACGGCCCTACTCTGCGTCAGGCTTTGGAAAGCGACGCATGTTGCAACCTTGACATAAGGAATGTGTTGCATAGGTAGCCACGAGGGTCTGGTACGGGTCACCAGTCCAAATGTCCTGCACTGAACCAACAGGGCTTTCAACAGCAGACTGCTTGAGAGATGGCATTCGAACCACACAAAACTTGGGAACCCAGGCTGTAAACTCCAGACCCTGAGTTACTAACCCCAAACTCCGACTTCCAAAGCCCCCCAAACCCAATACCCCAAAGCCGAAACCTCTAGCCCTTAAGTAGCCTTACTGAGACCGTATAAGACCCTGGTCCTCGAGGCTCTCTTCCGACAGGTTTCCGAAGTAGCCCAAGCCCAGTCGCTTCTCCTAAGCCAAAGTCGATGGCTCTCAAGGCTCTGCCTCTTCCTAGATGATACGGCTTTGTCTTCCCCGAATGCTCCATGTGGCTGAAGAAAGAAGAATGATGTAACGACTTTTGCGGTTTCCCCATCTATTCCTGAGTTGCATTTGTAGTATCCCCTAAAGATCCCCCCCTCCTCCCACTAAAACCCATTTCAAACACAAGCCCCGCCACCCTATCTACCTTTTTGCGAAGAACCCGTTCCTACATCCACCCAGGTCTCATCGGGCGCACAGCACGGGTTGAAGCGGCCATCGGAGGCCACCCACAGCTCCTTCCGCCAGAGCAGAAGGGACGTCAAGCTCAAGGGGTGTGGGGCTGGGGATTTACGCTCTGGGGCCCTGGGGTTTGGGCCTAGGATGTCCGAGAGACTTTTTTGGTCGTGGGAGGCTAGCCCTGGACGCCAGTAGCTCCTTCTGCAGGAAGGGGCAGGGCGCCCCCGGTGCCAGGTCTTGCGCAGAGTCCTTTCAAGATTCAAGAGGGCACGGGACCGAAGAGAGTCTGACGGCCGCACGAAGCAACACATTGAGAGAGACGACAACATTGCCCCGCATGGGACATCTCTGAATGACTGCCACGCTACAGGGCTACAGGACTCTGCAAACTGAGGGATTCTACTGCAGCCAGGCCCACCTTTGGGATAATGTTGACCCCCTCCAACTCGATGCCTAGGTTTGCAGCAAGAACGGCCTCCTTGAAGAAGAAAGCATGTCTCGTACACCACGCCTCTCGGTTTTCAGACTGGACCAAGGCACCCCGCGACTTGGCCGCCTCCATCGCGGAGGGCACCATGGCGTTCCAGCGGGCCACTGCATCGTGGTCCCTCTTCATAGCACGCCGGGCCATCTCTGGCCAATGGGCCCACAAGTGATGCCCCTTGACACGGTTGATGCCCACATCAGCTGCCAAACGAACGATGTCCGGAATCTCCTGGTAATTCTCCTGCACAAGCTAGATTCCGCAGGGACTACAGTACTGTCACCATGCCACAGCTTCGGTGCACAACGATGGCTTCCACGCTACACACACTGCACCGACCGTGTTTCAGGAACCGGGAGGTGGCGAAAGGGGTGGCGAGACGAGGACCAGTTGCACACCACAGGCAACCACCCGGCATTTGTGCCAAGACATGCTACAGCGGTATCGACAAGTCGACAGGCCTGACCTGAAGGATGAAACCCAACTTGGCACCCCAGCTTCTCTGAGTTCTGTCCTCGAGGAAGGTGAGCTGGAACGTCAAGCGGCAGACGGGCCCACCAGCAGCCACCAGGGCATCCCTCTCCTGGACCAAGATCTTCACGTTTTCCATGACTTTCTCAAAGTCATGGCCCTTCATGATGGTCTCCTGGGTCTCCTTCTGCGCACCATTCCAAGAGATCTTGATGTCCGACGTCAAAGGAAGAAGGAGCTCCGCCCACCTCCGGGCGCCAAGCCTTGGGAAGGTGCCGTTTGTCGTCAAGTTCAGCTTGAGGCCGAAGTCGTGCCCGGCTGCCTTCAGCCGGGCGTCCTCCTCGCTAATGAGCTCCAGGAGCTTTTCAAAGTGCTGGTACAGAAGGGGCTCTCCCATGGTGGAGGGGATGACCTCAAGCACCTGACTCCTGCCCTTCTTCAGCCAGGCGAGGTTCAGGTCCACAAACTCACGGAGCACCTTCTGAGCCAAGTCCATTGGCATGCGCCTTGGGCTGAGGCCCTGGCTCCGGCGCTCGGCCTCCACGGTGGAGTACTGCGAGAAGCCCTCGCACATGTCGCAGTGCAAGTTGCAATCATCCGGGTTCGTGTCAAGGGTCAGCCTCCATGGTGGTGAATCCTGCGAATCCCCGATCCGAACATCTGAGGATCGCCGTCGCTGGATGGTCTCCTCTCGGGATGCAACCCACTTAAGAGACTTAAGAGTGCCTTCCTCATGCCTTTGAGGGATCGAGAGTTCAGAGCACGGGGACAAGGTCACGAGGTGACATGGCAGTCTATTGATGCTTCTGCACGCGTTTGGAAACCACAGAGCCTCATAGAGCTCCGCGATCTTAGCCACATGGTCTTCAACAGACGGAATCTGACCATCCCTTGAGAACCTTAGCTTAGGCTGCCAGCAGAAGGGATGGACAGGCTCGAAAGAGCGTTCCGTCATAGTCCCGATAAACAGCCGGAGCTGTCTACTCCACAAACTGAGACTCTTGAACGTGCACATACCTTGCTAATTAACACAAACAGGGCCGAAAAGCAAATATCCTGCTTGTCCAAGCTGTTTCGCCCAGTCCGGCTCAAGAAGGCAGCGGCGCATCTGCTCCGCCAGGGCGTTCGGGTCCCTATGTGAGAACAGGAGCCCGTTCTTCTCGTGCTGCACGTACTCTGCCATGCCTCCGACGTTGGCCGTGATGACAAGTACGCCAGCTTGCTGGGCCTCGTGGATCACGAGTGGGCTGTTCTCCAACCAGATGCTCGGGACCACAATGGCATCGACTTTGTTAAAGACCTGGGGAGTCCTACCAGTCCTACCGCGCTACCCGTGGGCCAACCGCGTCCACGAACAAAGCCACACACACACACACACACACCCTCGCCTCAGCCACGATGTCCTCGTTGCAGTACTCGCCGCACCACTCCAAAGTGCCCAAGTTTCGCCCGAGCTTGGCGGCAAGCCGCTTCAGAGCCTGGGTCAAGGTGCCAGGTGCACACGTCCTCTACATCTCAGGCTGCTTGGGGCGCGGCAGCTGTAGACTGTCCCAGCGTCCTTCCGAAGATTTTCAAGCCTGAGCAAGCAAAAAAAACAAGCGAACAATCTCGGCCAAAATCTTGCAAGAATGCCAGAAACTCGTTAAACGGGTACCCTATCACTGAATCGACTGAACTAATTGCAACAAACAGATGTCTGCAGAACAAATGACAAGGCCTCTCAAAGGTACAGAAATACCAGGAAATAGGTGGAGCAAGAGTCGACGCCACTGCGCTAAGCATGATTGCAGGCAGGAATGTTTGTGTTGGGAATTGAGTGGCGACATCACCAACAGAGGCATGTACTTCTACTGCTCGCACTCGACTTGACACGCAGAAGCTTTGAGGCTTGCAGCGTGACTCAGGGAGCGCAGCATCTGATTGCACCGCCGCAAACGCTTCAATCAGGTGGTGCACTCCCTTGGACTCCTGGCTTTTCATGGTCTCTTCCCAAATGCCCAACTGAGAAGTGCAGACAGCGTAGCGCTTGCGTGTAAAGTCTTGCAGATGCGTTCCGCTCAGGCCTTGTGGGTTCCGATGTAGGCGAACGTGAACGGCCCGCCGTCTTCACGCTGCCGTCCCTGGCAGCGGCGTCGATCAAAGCCGTAGTCTAGATACACGACCTTGGACTCCGGAGCAAAACCTCGGTCATCAGGCGGAAGGTCGTCCGTTTATCAACGTAACCAAGGCCCAACTTGCACCCCGCAATTGCTTTGCCCCTTTGAGCTATGGAACCATCCGCTACGAAGCGCTGCTGTAGATGCTGGGCAGGCGCAATGAAGAGGTCTACTTTCTCTGCCACTGCTCGCACGTGGGCCATGCGCTTTGCAATCCAGCCAGTCCAATAGTGCTCGTCCATGTGACTGTCTGGGTCTCCTGACCCGATTCGAGGGACGTAACATCTCTTGGCACATTTGCCATCGTCCTGGCCGTCGCACACAGGCCACAAATCATCGGGCTTCTCACCTGTGAACTGCATGTACTGGCCTCTGGGACAGTTCAGCCAGAAGTCGTGCAAAGTGTATAGGAAGGGAACGCCCTTTTTTGTCACAACGTCAACCAGTGAGGTTGAGAGATGGTTCAAGTGCCCACAGTGGACCACATCTGGGCGAAATTCTTCCAAGATCTCTTCCACCGCCTGGTCCACTTCCGCGATCCGATAGCGATCCCGGAAATTTGGAAGGTTGATGATCCTGAGCCTGGCCAATTCGTGTCAGCAGCAAACAAAATGCGAAACATCAGTCAAACGTACGCCTTGCAAATGACTCGACAATCCATCCTTGGGATAATTGGGATAAGAGGCCAAAAAAAAACCCTCGGGCCTGACATCGCCATCAAAGTCAGTGCGGACGCGGAAGTAGGGAGCGATGGTGTCCTCCTCCCTGCAAAACACGAGCACTTCATGGCCCCGATGCTGCAGCTCTCGAGCCAGCGTTTGCGTGTAGACCTCCGATCCCGCATTGTAAAGTGGTGGGTACCCATGGATGATTAAAAGGATTCGCCGAGGTTGGTCCGCTTCTGCCGCTTCTGCCCACATACCCTGGACGCAAGCTGCGCCACAAGCTGTGCGAACTGCCCGAGTCTGCGCGGAGACTTTCCCATGTCTCCAGTTTCTGTAGGACCATGGAGCGACCAGGGCCGCCAGCCCCAGCCATGGCCATGGCGCATCGTCGCAGCTGGCCCAGCTGGTTCCAGTCCGCGGGCTGGCTCTAGGGGTCCACACAGGCACTCTCTGAACTCCGTGAAGTCCGTGAACTTGTGCTGGCAAGATTGCAGCCATCGATCAGGCGCAATCTCACCGCTAAGCCGCTAAGTACCAGGAGCTTGCGCAAGATCTTTTGAGCCTGAAGGCACCAGCAGGCGCCAGCGACAAGAGTGTTCCTCAAATTCCTCAACCAAATTCAGCATGCGGGCGCGCGGCGCTGGGTAGGCAGACACAGGGAAGCGAAGATGAACAGAGTTGCAAAGCCCTGCCAAGCGACTTGAAGCTGTGCCATTACCTGCACCATTGCCTATGCTCAGCACCTCCGGGCAGGCTTTTCTGTCGCGTGCATGAGGCGACCAGATGCTTGTGAATGGAACTGTCTCCCCTGAAGCCAAGTATGCGATTTGGAGATCACCCTACTACTGCCTGCAGCCTGAACCTAGTACCTCCACAGATGGTTGTCGCCCTCGGACTTCTCATTGCAGGACTTGGTTCAGGCTCATCTGCTCTTTCCCGCATCAACACACAAAGAAGGCTGATGCGGGAAAAGGCCAGCATTCAAAAAAATTAAGCGTGGAACTCCGTGGAACTGATAACTGTGCTGTGCCTGGCTGTGCCTCACAAGCCCCAGCGGCGACAAGTTGCTTCCGGATTGCCTTCGCCTTTCATCAAGCCGTTCCTTCCAGCGAGGCGTTGGGTTGCTTATGATACAGACTTGCAGACTGCGCATGATTGCACTCTAACTGCCATCCCAAGTTCTTGTAGAGGAGGCGTGGGCCGGATGCGTCGACGCCATTGTCGTAAAGTGCCACCACGCCGCTGCTGTGCTGCACGCAGGCGGCTAGCTTTGGGAACTCCTCACAGTTAGCAACTGCCATGGTTTGGTAAGGACAGGAGACGGCTGAAGAACAAAAGCCGCGCCTGGAGCAATGCAGCTTCCCGCAACCCACCACCTCAGTTAAGCGCACGACACTCCCGCAAGCTCCGTCACAGTTCTGTCACTGCTGCCTGTCTTCGCCTCATTTCTGCCTCTCAGACAAGCCACTGCTCATTCGGCCGCACGCAATCGCTCGCCTTTCCGCTCGCTTTGTAGCCACATCGACAGGCACGTGGACTCCCACCAGGCGAAGCTCATATCCCTCCGCTCGGACATGCTTCATGAACTGCAGCGTCTCCGGTTGATCAAAGATGCCTGGCAGGACGAAGCTGTATCTGTGTTCCAGCAGCCTGGAGACCACGGAGTCTGACGTCCTGTAGAGCAACCTCTCCGCATCCATTGTGGGGAACCAACTTGCAAGACCCAAGGATGTCCCTAGCCGTACAGGGCTGACTGCATCCATCGGTCTCACCAAGTCGGACCAGCGCAGCTCCTGGGCATGCTCTTGGTACTGGGCGTGGAAACGTCGGACGCCGTCCATGTCCAAGTTCACGCACTCATCAAGGTCAACGCCCAGATCTGACAACAGTTGCGCCAAAAAGGTGCTTTTGCCAGCAGCCGGCAGCCCTGTCACAAAGACTCCAATAGGTCTGGCCTTCGAGGATTTCTTGGCAAGCAGATGGCAGGAGAGAAGATTGGCTTCGTGGGCGGTGAACGGACGGCACGGTTCTCTGGGACTGCCGGGCTCCAGCGCGAAAGTGACTTGCGGCAAGTCAGGTGGCCTTGCGCCGGCGACCTTCCTGTGTAGTTCTTCAAATTCATCCAAACTCAACCCGCAGCCCAGAGCGAGCTTTGCGCCCAGAAAGCCATCGCAGCTGACCTTCGGTGCTTCGCTGCGCTGTGTGAGGTGGGTCTGGCAGGGCAGCAGCTGGAGCATGCCCAGAGCATTCAAGACATCCCAGACTTCCAGCCATTTGCTGCGAAGCTCCTGGGGATCTCCTGAAGTCATGACACGCAGCAGCGCCGCCACAGCCGCCATCCTCCTGCCGTCCTGGCAGCGCAGGACCACAGGGAAATCCGCCACCAGAAGCGCCCTGAGGAAGTTCCCAAGCGCTTGTGCGCCTGAAGCCTCTGGCTCCCCGGGAAGCGGGCAGGCCACCCACCAAGTTTCCTGGTCGAGACTGGCCTTCAGGTTGTTGACATCGTTAACCTCGCTAGCATCGTGCAAGTCGATCACGCTCCTCGCCATTTTGGGGGGCACCTGCTTGAACTCTGCCATGGAGCAGTAGATGCCTGGCTGGACCAGAAAGGGGTCCCCCCGTTGTAGGACCCATCGTAGCGCCTCCGTGCTGCGGGGCAGCTGAGAAGGATCCAGCGTCCGATGAAGAGACGAAGACAATACTGGATCCATGCTGACAGCGCTCAGGAGCTTCTGGAAGTGGTGCAAATATGCAGCCAGCAGAAAAGGACTCCTCGAGCCCAAACCCCACTTTGCTTGTTGATGTTGTGTCCTGGGTTCAAGGCACAACAACTCGTCGGAGAGCTGCTGCATGATGTTCTTCGGAAGGTAAAGGAAGTTCCGCCCTCCACGCAACAAGTATTCCAGCTTGACCAGGCAATCATACAGGATGAAGGTCTGAAAGTAAAGCTGGTAGTCATCTCCTGTGAGAAGCTTAGTCGACGCGCTCTCAAAAGCCTCCAGAAATGTGGTAAGCAAGCCATGCAGCTCCGTTGAGATGCAAGGCTGCTTCTGGCAGCCTTCAAGCTTTTGCAAGACGGCCTCGGGCTTTCGGGCATACATCAGGACAGACTTCGGTACCAACATGTTGTCGACCTTGCGAAAGCTATCCACCACGAAACAGTCCACTCGGACCATTCCATAAGCAGGCTTGGGGATCAACGCGAACAGCTTCTCCGAAGACTTCGTCAAACAAATCCCATGTCCTTTCAAGCAGTCTGCCTCCAGCTCACGTGCCAAGGTGCCCAGCAAGTCAGGCGCCGACCCGAGCACACAAAGGTCCAAGTCACTCCACCGGGACGCTTCTCCACGAGCCTGAGACCCGAAAACCACCACAGCCTCGACCGACGGTGTCCTTGTGGCCCAATCCCGCATCCAGGCCTTCACCTCCTCAACGCCACCGGAGACACCGGACACACTGGACACACTGGACTTGCTAGAATTGCCAGGCCCGGGCTGCAAAGCCTGCAAAGACCTCGCAGGGCGAATCACTGTCCTGTAGAGGGACTCGAAGAGTCGGCCGTTCTGTCCGGCTGCCCCGTGCTGGAGCACGGCCTTACGCATGTCCAGGTACCGACGGAGCAGTTGCTCGGCCTGGGCCGGCTCGGGTAGCCGGGCAAGCAGCGAGGGCGAGGCAAGGAGGCCTTCGATGAGCTGCGCGGCAGACGTGATGGGTGCAGTGGTTTTCAGCAGAAAGCGCAGGGCCGCCTTCAGCTCAGATCCAACGGTGTCCATGCCAAAGCCACCGCGAGGAATGAGCACCGGAGGTGGCAAAGCACTCATCGGCCACCTGGGATACTGCCCGGGGGTGGGCCCGTCAGGCCCGGCTGGTGTGGCCCAGGTGATGGCCAGGGCCACACGCAAGCCACCTTCACAGGGTGCGGCGCTGTGCCAAAGCCTTGAGTCGAAGAGGATGGCATCACCAGCATCTGCTTGGACTGTCACCGCCTCTTGCCACTCCTCACTGCAGGCCCGATCCTGAAAGTCTGGATCCAGAAAATCAACCGCTGCCTGAATGCCGTGCTTGTGGGAGCCCGGCAACATTTGTAGAGGCGACGCCGCCGCGGGCGTAAGCGCAACCCAGGTGGTGCAGCTAAAGAGTTGAGACCCGGGTCGCCAGGCATAGGACAAGTCTTGATGGGCATGAGTACCACGCGGCGCATGCTCAGACTTGCGGAAGATGGTGGCGCCCACTGGCCAAGCCCCAGACTCCAAGACCTCCTCAACCCGAGGTCGCAAGAAGGGAGCGATCCGTTCGACCATCGTCGCAACCACAGGGTTCCAGTGGCTCCACTTGTTGACTACTTGAAGGTACGTCTCCACGGGCAGGTCGCTGTCTGCCGCCCAGACTGGCAACGCTGATTCGAAGCTGTGCAGCACCTCCGAGGCAACGTTTGGGGCGAGAGCCGATGACAACACGCAGAATCCAAGCCTCTTGTAGAGTGCCGGATCCTCACGAGGTGCCTGCTGAAGCGAGCATCGGCGCTTCGTCGGTTTTTGACGTCGTTTCTGCACAATGCCGGCAATGAGCATCCTGAGGCCAGCGAGAACTGAGAACTGCAAGCACTGCAAGCCTTGCTTTCGCTTCAGACCTAAGCTCCAAGCAGGCTGCCGATGTAACATCTGTCGCACGGGTCCATCGTACCTCGGCAGCTGGGCTTGACACTTCCCTCCACTTCGCTTCTACCTTCCATCCCACAACTGGTTGAACGCCTCTATCTGGGCTCAACACTTGCACGAACAAATGCCCGCATGACCGGCAGCGACACAGCGGGTGCTTGCAAAGTCTCATATCCAGGCCAATGACCTGAGCACACACAGAGCCAGCCATACAGAGCCAAGCACCTGCTTAAGGCGCCTGACTCAGCCCCTGCTGTTGCCAAGTTGCTTTGCCAATCCCGTGGAGACCAGCGAAGTGCCATGTCTGCACCCTGATGTTGAGCCGCACAAACACTGCGGAGATAGGACGTGCGTGCGCTACCATACCTACCACCGATGACAGCATCCTTCTTCGCGGAGACAGTTCAGGGCTGGGGACACTGAGGCTCACGACACGAGCATGATGTCATCCATCAAACCCGAAGGATCATGCAGTCCTATCAAAGCTAACTTACATCCCCCCAGTAATCCCGGCGAGCGTGTCCACCCGCAGTTCTGGTTTTGCCACCGATGCCAGGCTCCCAGAACGCAGCTACGTGGGCATCAACCTGACATGCCACGGCAAAAGAGCCGACAACATCCGACAACATAGACATGGGTCATGGTATCAAAACCGTGATTTGCCCGTGGTCTAAAGGCAGTCTCGTGTTCTTCGGTGCGACATGTACACCCCCCTACAAGAGTGTCTCGTTTAAGTGACAGCATCAGCATCTGACTACAGAGTCTTGGGCAGTATGGACGCATACTCCATCTAGCTGTATCCATTGCCCGACAGCGAAACAGCATGGTCCATGTGGTGATTGCAAGTCTATCTTTTCATATGGTGGCTTCAGGAAGACAGTGCTCTGTGTGTGGTGCAATCAAGCCTGAAACAATAGAGACTTTAGCACACCTACAATCTAATCCCATGTAAGTGGCTGGTTTGCCCGAAACTGAGTGGTAAGCTTTCACAAATAAACCACCCAAACGATTCAGCCTCACATTCTCCCACCTTAAACGAATGCATCTTTACATGGTAATAGAACATACCGCGAAATAGAAGTAGGCGATAGTGTTACAATAATGCGTAAACAGGGCAGTAGCGAAAAAGAGAAAACGAGCCATTGGGTGAGAGCCCCTCAGAAGTTAACCAAACAGACAAGAAATTCGGATAAAAACATGTTTGTTTAGAGAACGATGGTAAGAGAGGATATTGACGCCACGAATTAGAAAAGGTGTAGAAAACCTGCTTGAAATAGCGAGGTTAGCAATGCTTTGCGGCTCTTCTTCCGAAGACTCAAAATGAGTTGCTTGGTTCTGAACTTGGCCGTCTTACCTGCTACATTTCCTTGATTGGTCAGAATTTTTGCGACTCCACCCGAAACTCTCACACCCACTGTTCTTCTCATGCTGGGTGTGTCTTTCATATGCAGACACACCGTGGTCGCACTGATCTAAACCATAACAAACCATAACAGGATGCAAGCCAGGCCCAAACGATTTGGAACATGACCATGAACACCTGCCACACAAGGCAAGCCACACACTGTTTTTGGGGTCCTTGGGTTTCATTCTCAGGCGCGCTGCTCATGTCCCAGCTCAGTGACACACTGCTGACGATGCGCCATTGGCAGCATGAGCAGTCTAGTGCGTATTTTGACGCGTACTGAAAGCTCCTTGCTGCATGTACTGTGACACTCTTGGCATTCCTGCTGCGTGTTGTGCAGCAGACTCCTCCGCCGGCGGCAAGTTTCCGGTTTCCCCCGTCTGGACGTCCTTCTGACCGAAGCTTCGGCGAACAACATAGCCGAGCTGATACCGAAGGGGCAGGGGCTGCCCATGGGTTGAAATTGAGGGGAATGGGGGCGGTGGGGGGGGGGAGGAGGTCAAGAAAAGCAGCTTTCATGTTGGGATCACCTTGCCTCCAGGAGGGGCATTCTGACCGAGGCAGTGTGCCCCATCGCCAGAGAGGCCGCCTCCTGAATCTGCATCCGTCTCACCAGAGAAGCCTGCATAGAATTCTTGTGATATTCAAGAAATGCCTTCCACCTTTTTTCTGAAGGTCTGAAGGCGTCGAGCCATCGTTTGTCACTGTGTTTTTGGTACATCTCGAAACCCGATTCAATCCTCCATCCCATGTGCAACTCCGAGGAGCGCAGTGCCTCCGCAGGATGACCGTGGACTGTTCAAGGCAGCTCAACACCCGTACAATGTACAAATATGTACAATGTACAGTTATCACAGTTATCACAAGACGCAGCTGCACATGCACGCACACACACAAAGGACGACCCATCTCTGCTCTGGCGCTTTTGGACAGGCCCCGCCTTCGAGACGATGGCCCATACGGCTCCGCCCACGACCCCGATGACAATTCCCAAGAAGACTGTGTCACCATTCGCCCCCCACCACCTGCGCACAACACCTTGGGCACGTTGTCCATGTGTCAGACGTGTCTGACAAAGCTCCAGGTTGGCGTCGTCAGAGAGGTCCTGAAGCAGCACAGCTATCGGTACCGTTGGTACGGGTTCCACGCGCGGATTGATGCCAGTGCTAGCTGTCCCCATGGCATTCACCATCATTCACCCACACGAGCAAGCCCAACAGCCCAACGGGCATGGCTTTCCAGAGGCCCCGCTTCATGGGAGCCGCGAAGTGAAACGCCAATCAACTGCTTTCATGCTTGAGTCAAGCCACCAAGCAAGGTCCAAGTCACTCCACCGGGACGCTTCTCCACGAGCCTGAGACCCGAAAGCCACCACAGCCTCGACCGACGGTGTCTTTGTGGCCCAATCCCGCTGACCCGCGCAAACACTGCCGAGATAGGTTGTGCGCTACCTTACCTACTTACCCATTAAAAATGCTTCTGGGAAACAGTTCTGGGCTGGGGACACTGAGGCTCACGACCCGAAGGATCTTGCAGCCCTATCTTGACACCAACTTACATCCCCCCAGCAACCCCGGCGAGTCCGTCCACTCACAGCTTTGGTTTTGCCACAGACGCCAGGCTCCCAGAATGCAGCTACGGCAACCAGTGAATGGCTGTGAAGACGTCTGAGCCGCAAGCTTTGCAGTGTCAGTGCCCTGGTCAGCAAAACAGGGCCTCTCTGCTGGGCTTCATGGCCTGGGATTTTGCTTAGGTACAGTTGGGTCCTCGTCCGTCTCATTCGTACGTCTTCCAAAAGCCATTCAGAAACTCTACAAAACTCATGCTGCGACCCTACTCTGGGCTGTTGGGTGTGCAGGGAACCAAGCGCCAACTGAGCTTCTGATAGCTTTTTACCTCCTGGCCCGTGTGGCTCTAGCCTCTAGCCTCTAGCCACTCTAGCCTGCGCTCTCTCAAAGACCTAACGTCTTTCATGAACTCTACGAGGTCGAACCGAAGTGTCAGCTAAACTACGGAGCCCGTCGTCCCACCCGCTCACGCCCCTGGTCGCAACTCCGACCAGTATGAGCCGGCAGAGATGGCGGATCCGCGAGTAACTCGGCCAGAGGCCTGGAGACGCAGAACATGAGCTGACACGACTGGTCGCTAGAAAAAGCCACTTTTCCGGCCTCAGCTTTTATCCCGGTTGACGTTGAAGGCCCTGCCGATGTGGTGCCATCATGCAAACTTGAAGAGTCGGCAAGAGAACCCAACGCCAAACATGATGGAGGGGCGTGAAGGACAGCGACACGTACGGGAAGAACTCCTCATCACCGTCTGCCTGCCCGCCATTCGAGCGTCTAATGCTTTAGGTCTGCAGGGCCACCACAGCCACGGCCACGCATGTGTCCAATTCGTTCCATGTGTCTCCCACCTCTGACATCGCGCTGCCCATGGCGCCGGCCTCGCAAGAGGTGTGTGTCCGTGTGTGTCCGTGTGTGTGGGGAGGGCCGCGACTACTAATTTGACATGCGACGTCTATGCATCAGGTTTTCACTAGATCTCGATAGATTCTTCGTGCAAGTCGATCTGTGCAGGTTTCTTTGGCGACGCAGCGGGCATCAAACGGAAAGGTTACAAAGAGCCGACAACATCCGACAGCATCGACATAGGCATAGGTCATGGTATCAACAACGTGATTTGCCCATGGTCTAGAAGCCAATGTAGAGTCGCATAGAGTCGTGCAAGCCGATCTTGACACCGGTACGCCGTGGCGGTGTGCACTTACGAGGAAAACGACACGTCATGTACGCCGCCCCGACGATAGTGTCTCGTGTAAGTGACAGTATCCTACATCTGACGACAGAATTCGTCAGTTTTGGGCAGTATGGAGTCATACTCCATCTAGCTGTATCTCCGTTGACCGAAACAACCTAGATTCTTGCCCGACAACGAAGCAGCACAGTACCAGCAAGTCTATCTTTTCAGCTTCAGGAAGACAGTGCTCTGCGAATGATGCGATTCACCCTGAAAAGTAGAGACTTTAGCGCACCTCCGATTTAATCCCATGTCCGTGGCTGGTATGCCCGAAACTTACAGGAGCCAGGGTTAGAGAGTGGTAAGTCACACCAAACCCACCCAAACTTTTCAGCACGCCACTTCTCCAACAACACTAAACGAACACACCCCACCCCTCAAATCCTTCTTGAAGGACCACCTGCAGGAAATAAGTAGGCGTATTTGGACGTCTTCGGAGGGAAGTGTCTTTCGATGGCCAGACGAGATACTTTGCGCTGCTTTCCCTCCACCCACCCATGTGCTACGGGACAAACTTATTCACAGCAAAATTTCTTCAGAATAGAGCTGTCAAAAAAACACAAGGTTCCAATCTGTTCCAGAGGTTTGTTCCCCACCCTCGGTGTGAGGTTGTTAGATTTTAAACTCAACTCTGCTCACTCTGCTCCTCGCCCGGAACTCTTCTCCTCCCCCGGAACTCTTCTCCTCGCCCGGTCTACTCCTCGCTCACCCCTCAGATCCCAACCCCAAAGTGTCCCTGGAGTGCCCAACTCTAGAGTGTCCCTGGAGTGCCCAACCCCAGCATCTCCCTGAAGTGCCCAACCCCAGATTCTCCCCAGAGCCCAACCCAGAGTGTCCCCGGAGTGCCCAGCCTCGGAGTCTCCCTGGAGCCCAGAGTCTCCCTAGAGTGCCCAACCCCACAGAGTCTCCCTAGAGCCCGCAGTGCCCAGCCCACAGTCTTCCTGGAGTGCCCAACCCAGAGTCTCCTTAGAGTGCCCAGCCCAGAGTGTGCTCTGGAGTGCCCAACCCCAGAGTCTCCCTGGAATGTCCAGCCCCAGAGTCTCCCTGCAGTGCCCAAGCCCTAGAGCGTCACCACTTGTTGTGGAGTGCCCAACAGAATGTCCCCGGAGTGGCCAGCCTCAGTGTGTCCCTGGAGTGCCCAATCCCAGAGTATCTCTACCAAGAGAGGGTGGGGATGTTCGAAGTAAAAAATTTTGTTGGGGGGGGATTTGGCACTTCAACGTTGGGTTGTACCTCCAAAGTAAACATGCTAACGAGGCACCATCCCTCTAAAGGAAACAGGGTTTAGCAGGCACAATGGAGATTTAATGCTCCAAATTCCATCAAACATCCACCTACCTCGACAAATACAATTGTAACCAAGGAAAGGAACGAAAAGGCCTTCCACTACTGCTGAGGACGGCGCGGAACAAGCCTACCACTGCGGCACAAAACCTACAGGCCCTGTCTCGATAGGATCATTTTAAAGCCGAGGGTAAGAATCGTGAGTCTAGAGGGGGTTTATATTTTCCCAAGAAGAACGACAAACACTGTTCCGTTCCTTACATAAACCATAATCGAACTTTTTCAATACTATGGCACACATGTTAACGTTTAAAGGTTAAATCGTCCATGACTTCACCTGTTATCAAGTTTAAGCCTCCTTAATTTGGGTTATTCCCTGTTCGTGTTTATTACCATTAATTTGAAAGTCTCCATATCAAAAATCCCCCTTTGTGCAGTGTGGCTTTTCTAAATGCATGTTACCCGGCCCTCTTCCCGGCATCGTACCTGATCCACAATATTATCATGTCTTTTTTCTTTGGGGAACTCAAAAGCTTAATTGTTCAGCGTTTCACGATTAAAACATCCTTGAAAGCGCACATTGCCAGGTTTCACAGGCAAGTCACAATGACGCAGGCCCAGAAGAGAAACAACATCACCAAAGCAGACACACTTCAAAAAGCAAGCCTCACACCAGCTCCTCTCTATTTCTCTCAGGGATGCCATTATATGGACAAGTGATTGTGCTGCCGAGTTGCTGGATCCTCTTCTTTATACTTGACTAGACTTCATGGCCCCCGCCTGCTTTCCCAGCGTCTCCCCAAGGATCTTCCTTGCCGCCGTGGCGTCACCCTGCCAAGGCGCGGCATACGTTGCATCCCGGTCTGAATTACCCATCATTTCATTGGCCTTGGGACTGAGGATGAAGGCTGCGAAGGAGGGCGGCCTCAAGAATCTCCACATCTCCATCTATGGATCAATCTGAATCCATGACTCTGAGATTCTGGCATGCCGAATCGCAGCACGCTTTCCACGAAGACCCGCATGGCTTTGATGTGCATCCACGCCTTCGTGCCAAAGCGAACCCAAAAAACTCCTGAGTTTGTGGGTCGTGCGGACCGTAACTCCTTCATTCATCGTCACTCCGTTCATCGGGTGGGGGAGCTCACATGGACTCTGCTTTCCAACTGCTAACAACAGCAAAACATTTCAGACTTCCGGTCTAGGAATTCGAGAGAAAGCAAAAGAGAGAGAAAGAGGGAGACACAGAGGGAGAGGGAGAGGGAGAGGGAGAGCAAGAGGGACAGAGAGGGAGAGAGCGAGAAAACAAATATCATTCAGATGATTCAGCTCCCTTGGCTGAGGCTTGGGCAACGAAGACATCAGACCATGAAGCCTGGAACAGCGAGTTCCAAGGTGTTCCAAGGTACACGGTTGGGGACTGCGCAGCTCCCGCAGCTGGCTAACTCCAGTCCTGGTAGAGTCCGTGAACGAGATCCCGCTGCCTTCTCAGATCCATGACACAAAGTAGCCAAAGATTTCATGCAAAGCAGAGTAGAACAAGTAGAACTAAGTAGAACCCTCTTTGGTTCATCTCAGCGCCTCTTCACCGACTCCTCGACAGACTTTCGCTGCTGCTCCAACTTGTGGTAGCCTTGCGAAACATCCCAGTATTGGGTACATCGGGTACTTGCTTGCATCCTTCGCTCGAGCTCCAGGCCATCCTTGCTATACTCGAAGTCCCGAACCTGTCACAAGCAACCGCATTCCATCACAGCCTCCGCTAGTCTCCGCAGACGATGAATGGTGCTGCGCCGGTGCAGCGCACACTTGCTGCTTTGCTTTGAGGCCCTGGCTGTGAAGCGTTTCTCTCTACACATCTTCTTGAAGCCTTCCACTGCACTCCGGAACCTCAACCGGGATGGGTCTTCGAAAGATCTGGTAAGTCTACATGCAAGCTAAGCTGCATAACGACTCGCCACAAAGTGTTGCCATCCTGGATAGCTGCAGAATGCTGCAGAATGCTGCAGACTGCTGCAGACTGCTGCAGACTGCTGCAGACTGCTGCAGACTGCTGCAGATGTCACTCCCGCCAGCTTCCCAAGTGTCCTTATCCTCGATGCCTTTGAATTGTCTGGCAGACTTCGGCCTGAGCGGCAGTGCTCAGCACACTTGCCTAGTGTCTTTTGTTGTCTTACGGTGTGAAGCACTGCTTATACAGCTCGGGCTCTCGCACGACGTTTTCCTGCATCTTCTCATAGACTTTCAGGAAGTCATCCTGAAACACAGTAGCGGGGAACTGCTCAAAGGCACAAGTTGCACGCTGGACACTGCCTCACCACCTCTTGGGAGAATGACCGGCATGGTCGTGAGGTGCTCGGTCCTGGAAATTGGGGCAGGACGCTGTAAAACATTGACGGAAAAGCACGCAGCGTGTGCGCAAGGAGCTGGGACAAAGCTGAGGCTGGCGGCACAATGAAATCATCATCCGGGCCTCCATCGGCCTTCACCTCTCAAAAGGACTTTCCTTTTCACTGTGACGCTCTGTTCATTTCGCCTTTAAGAGACCCCGTTTCCCACAAGTTCAGGACGGGCTTGCCCACAGTGATGTCGTGATGCAATGACATGAAAATATCCGCTCTCACTCGTGCTGTTCTTCCTTCTTGCCTCCCTCTCGCTCCATTTCTTCAGAGCATGGGTTCCGCGCCTAAGGCATTCCATCTCTCCTGCTGACTTGTCACTTCTACTTGGACAAGCCCTCGGTTTTGCTGAGGTTTTTCGGATCGCCTGTGTGGAGTGGACCCCCCACCCTGACTCTTTAGCCTTTGCGCATTCCTCAGTTCATCCTTCACGGCCCCCACACTTCATCAGTCTGCTGTCGTGTACTTCCCCCCTCGGCATACCTTCCGAACAGCTTCCTTCGAGTGCCCGACCGCGCGTGTTCTGAGAATCTGGAGTCGTGGGAGTCTTGGAGAGTGAGAACGCACCGTGATGAGCCCGCTGCGACACTGAGCCTATTATCAAGATATTGAATGTGGGCTTGCCCTTCTCCTGCCGCCTTGTCGGACCTTTCCCTTGGCACCGTTTGTTGGAATTGGAGATGGTATGCGACAAGTCTGTGTCCTCTGTGAGCGCAAAAACTTGCGGTTTCTTCGTCGTGAGCCTTTTGCAATCTTTGACAACAGCAGTTAAGCATCGCCTGCTATGTTCACCTCTGCCTCAGGGATGAGAGGTTTGTGTAGGGCTCTCTTGGCACTTCATTCACACAACACAAAGGCGAGATGACAATCCAAAGCACCTCTGAGACAAACTTGTTGCTGATGACAGCCGAAAGGGCACACACATCTTCTGGCCTTGTCTGGTGTGAGGACGTCGATGAGGTCACGGCCTACCATGCTTAATCATGTCTGGACTGATCTGGACTTGCAGCTCCCTCTCTCAGCCCTATCGCACTGTATGGGTCCTGCGAGGCTGGCGGCATCCTTCTTCGACAGGCTGCCTTTAAAAAAGTTAAATCATCAGTGCTAGCTACGAAGCTGGCAAAGCGCCAGTGCTACTCTTCGCTGACTGCATCTGATTGCTGAACCGAGGTCGTCGCCCATCTGAGTCTTGAAGTCATTGAACTGCGCTGTCTTGTTTCTGGCTTCTTCATCAATGTGATTCACCACCGACCTCAGCTGCAAATTTAGAGCAACTTGTCTCCATGGTCTCAAGAGTCCGAGCCCTCGGCATGGTCCACGTCAGGGTGTCTGAGATTGATCGGCTTTTGGGAAACTTCGCCTCATCCCAGGACCACGTCCTGCATGAGAGAAGGGGGTGAGGGGATCACGGGGAGCACGGGGGACCACGCAAGGAGCAAGGAGCAAGCATCAGCTGGGAGCTTGGTATCGCGCGCCAAGTAGTCCAGGACCGGCATTTCCTGTCCACAGAAACGACATGGAAGCGACCAAAGTCTCCACATCCCGATTACTTGCCCCCCTCTACGCTTCTCTCCAGGGTTTTATTGCGGCACCTTCCGCTGCGACTTCACCTTGAAGGCAGCCTTGGGATCAAGCTCCACATACCTGGCAGGCACTGGGTGAGGCTACCGTAGCATAAGAGCTGCTTCCGGACACATAGATCCAGCAACGGTTCAGAGGGCTCTTGGTGGGGCGGGTGGGCGGGGGGGGGGGGGGGGGGGGGGGGGTGGTCACAGCATCAAGCGTGTGTTTCAGCACTTTCGAGCATCTTGCAGCATTCACAAGTGGAAATCTCTGTGCTCGCGCGGACTCGGGGTACTAAGGTTATGGCTGGCGCTCCAGGCGGTGTAGGATGCTGTCTACCTGAGAGTCGGCCTTCGCGAGGTCGTCCTGAACACCAGCGCTCAGTGACTCATCTAGCCTGATTGCCATCGGGTTCTCCATGAGTTCTTACTTCAATGTGGGGGGCATCTGAAACAACAGATTTCCTCCTAACCGATTGCAGTACCTCGCGTCGCGCTCCGTGTCCGTGTTGCTGCCGATGCCCAACCGAAGCAACTCTAAGATGGGAGTCCCACGTTGGAAGGCGGTCCATGTAGCAGTGTAGCAGTGCAAGTCAGTGCAAAATGTCAGTCTTTGCCACGACCGCTGGCAGCTTTAAAGGTCTTAATCGACATGGGGCACTTTTAAGAAACCCTACACAAGAACGGCAGATGTCTCCGTCAGGCGGATGAGGTTGTCGAAGGATCCAAAGAGCAGGGACCGCTCCCCGTCCGGCACATCGAACTTGCAGGGCTCCTTCCGCAAGGGGGATGAAAAGGCATGGGAAGGCACACAAAACCCAAAAATGTCGCTGGGCCAAGATGCCCAACAGGGAACTTCGCAGAAGAAAAGCGTTTCGAATGTGTCTGCTTTGTGACAAGGCCCAAGATGCCCGATTGGGAACTTCGAAGAGCAAAAGCGTTTTGAATGTGTCTGCTCTGCGAGAAGGCCCCAAGAAATTCGAAGACGAAAACCGCTTTGAATTCGTCTGCTTTGCGAAGAGGCCGCAAGATTCCCAACAGGGAGCTTCGAAGAAGACAAGCGCTTTGAATGTGTCTGCTCTGCGAAAAGGCCGCAAGATGCCCAATAGGGAACTTCGAAGAGGAAAAACGCTCTGAATGCTTTGCGAAAAGGCCGCAAGATTCCCAACAGGGAGCTTCGAAGAAGACAAGCGCTTTGAATGTGTCTGCTCTGCGAAAAGGCCGCAAGATGCCCAATAGGGAACTTCGAAGAGGAAAAACGCTCTGAATGCTTTGCGAAAAGGCCGCAAGATTCCCAACAGGGAGCTTCGAAGAAGACAAGCGCTTTGAATGTGTCTGCTCTGCGAAAAGGCCGCAAGATGCCCAATAGGGAACTTCGAAGAGGAAAAACGCTCTGAATGCTTTGCGAAAAGGCCGCAAGATTCCCAACAGGGAGCTTCGAAGAAGACAAGCGCTTTGAATGTGTCTGCTCTGCGAAAAGGCCGCAAGATGCCCAATAGGGAACTTCGAAGAGGAAAAACGCTCTGAATGCTTTGCGAAAAGGCCGCAAGATTCCCAACAGGGAGCTTCGAAGAAGACAAGCGCTTTGAATGTGTCTGCTCTGCGAAAAGGCCCCAAAATGCCCAATTGGGAACTTCCAAGAGCAAATGCGTTTTGAATTTGAATGTGTCTGCTCTGCAATAATTGAAAAGGCCCAGCAAGCTTCAAAGTCCATGGACGCTTGTCAGGACGCGTGGTTCGATCTGCAAAGCTGCTAAGAATCTAGATCTAAGCAGGACGAAGAAGCAATTTCCATAGCCCTCATCACGCTCACGGAGCGCCTATACCTGTAGCCTTCCTGAAAGTTGTGGGATGTGGTAAGGCTTTGTAGCGATACTCCGGTGTCTTTGTAAGGATCCTGCTCTCGGATTTCCTTCTGCTACTGTTTCTTAGGAGGTACTTTCCTGCCTTTCAAGCTCCCCCTGCTGCTGGTAGCTGCACACTGACAAGCCGAGTTGTTTCTAGACCTGGAAAGCTACTCTGGAAAGCTTTAGGCAATGACCGTGGGACATGTGCCGACCTGGATGGTGGCAGGAACGCCCCGCAGAGCGGGATACTGCTTCAGCCTGGGTACGAACTTTTGCTCAAACACTCCAGCGTGAGTAGCGTGAGTGAGGTGCACAGCCACAGCATGGAATGCAGCTTCTTGTGCCAGCGAACATCCGTATCGATCCGAAACAAAACGGCGATCCCTAAACCTAATCTGGAGGCTACAGCTTGCAAGCCTTTTGCTTTTCCACGGGGTGCGGCTGCACCTGGACTCGACACACCGGGCTGCCGGCTGGGCCAGAAGAGCATCCTTTTTCGCGGGCGATTCCCTCAGCCAATTTCGCATTTGCACAGATTACGCCATGAGTAATTGTCATCAGCATTGTAAGAGCCATCAACATAGTCTTCAAGAGATTTCAGGAGGCAGCACTGGGAAAAATCCGCGAAGAGAAGACTAGTATGTGTAAGGATTGGGCTGGCCCTTTGCGCAGCCGACGGCAACTATCCAGAACTCTTGGCCCACGAGGCTCATGGCCCTGACAGAGGATGCTCTGCCGGACGCGCACCAAAACTGCAAACCCTTTTCAACCCTCGTCAATGGCCTTATGGCCTCCAGTGTCCTAACCGACACCAGTATCGACCCAAAACGCTGCGGAGTGGAGCAAAGATCATGGGCTCCCAGCTGCAAGGCATAGTTACAAGCTGCCAAGCCAGAGAATGGCACAACTTCGGCTCTTTCTGAAACTGGTGGATCTGAAGTCCAGGCAACATAACGCGTGTCCAAAAGAAGCGATTTGAGAGGCAGGGCCAGACCCCTACAACTACACACTATTCTCAAAGCTTGCTCACGGGCGCAGCAAATGTGATGCAGCACCTCGGCAGGATACGAGGGGCTTCTGGCGACTACGCGTGATGTGGTTGTTCGATGGAGACACAACAAGAATGACTTGGACCCCTACTTGCCGATGACCTGTTCAGGGCAATCCACATCAACAGGTCTTGAACAAACCACGAGCCTGCGACACAGCGTTTCTGTTCAACCCGCCTTTCGCTCCTCCATAAGCTTGAAAGCTTCCCTGGCAAGCGGCGATTTGTGAAGAAAGCAAACATGTCAGCCAGGACTGGGGTGAAGTTGCTTGGGGGCTTGTTGGGGGGTGCTTTGGAGCAAAACGGCGATCTTGCGAAGAAGCCACACATGTCAGCCAGGATCGGGGTAAAGTTGCTTGGGGGCTTGTTGCGGGGTGCTTTGGAGCAAAACGGCGATTTTGCGATGAAGCCAGGATTGAGTTGCTTGGGGGCTTCTTGGGGGGCTCTTTGACGTTTCAGAGCCACAAGCCGCGAGCAGGGCCTGAAACGGTCGAGCGGGAACTCCGCGCTCACATAGGGCTTCAGCTTGCCCTCGGTGGCCTGGGGGTGCGGATCTCAGGCGCTGAAAACTGGAATGAATTAACACACACACACTAAGAAATTCGCCTGGGCTTCCTGCCGAGAAGCGTCTGGAGCAAGCAGAATCGGATCGGGCCTCCTTCCCCTAACCCAACCCTTCCCCACACAAAATTTTGCGGCGGACCCCCCCCCCCGCCTGCAAACTGAGGCCTCCTAGAAACACCACCCCCCACCCCCCCACCCCCGCCCCACCCCTCTCACACCTTCACCCCACCCCCTTTAACCTCCCTTCCACCCCCGGACCTGGACCCTTCCTCCCCATTTTTTGCAGAACCCTCTTTCCTCCTTTCCTGTCTTGGGGCCGGTCCGGCTGCCGAGGCGGCGCGCGCAAGCGTTTACAATTTACATAATATATTGCAGGTGCACATGTACCATGATCGTATACGTCTGAGCCCGCATTAAGCACCGCACCAGTCTCAGAAGCTCCCCCATGCTCGCCCGCGCCAGGTCCGGCTCCAGGCCTTGATTCCAGAGCTTTTCATCCCGTCTCCGGAGAATTCCGCGGAATATTTTTCGGAATCAGAATGATTGTAAGCATCATAAGTGAGCAGGAGAGCCTGCATGTCAACTGTCAAAAACAGAACAACAAGAAGCCTGAACATACTTGTCTTATTCCAGATCTGTGACGGCTGCATGATGTGAGCACGAGCTCCTTGACTGTGCAACTTTTTGTACCAGATTGCAGTATCGGGGATTTTCCGGCCAGGTCTGCGCCTGTGGCATCGTCAGAATGGCCACCAAGGTGCACTCCGAGGTTTCAACCTGCTGTGTCCTCGCGCAGAGAGGATCTCCCCCTCGTTGGACAAGCTAAGGTCATCTTGAGGTCTTGGATTGCCGCATCGTTCTGGGAGTTCGGAACCGAGCGCTTGGAGAGGAACGCGGCAAAGAGGCTCTGGGGACACCAAGGGCGCTCTCACGGATGCTGACCGTCTCTGAGTCTCTGTGCATCTACGGCGCCTCAGACTCGACCGCGGCCAAGATTCCGCACCCACTGCGTTGCTTGGAGGCGGAGATCCGCTGCACGCGGGCAGTCGGCCAATGACAAAGGCTGAGAGGTCCTGTCAACGCACTTCCACAATGCACTGGCCAGATGCAGTGTCACTTTAAAGTGCCGTCATCGTGCTTACTTGGGGATTCGGGCTTGTTCGAGGGATTTGTAGAGTCGGGATGCGCCGTCGTTTGCATTTTAGTTATATAGAACAAGCGCTCTGTATGCTCCGTAGCGTGCGCTCTGAGCTTCCGGCAGTGGACAGAGGCCGCCCGTACTCTGCAAAGCTGTCACCAGGTTCGTCCTCTCAAAGACGTGGCCGGCTGGCGAGCGCACCTGAGTTGCAAGATCACGTGGCGCATGTCCCTGCGAATATGCGCGGTCCGATGCTTCTCAATGCTTCCAAGTGTCTGGATCCACAAGCAGCTTTCCATCCACCGCACCTTGCGAGTGAAGGGGCAAAGGACCAGTCAGACCTGACTTTGAATGAGCCGAGGAGCAGCAAAGCTCTGCCGGTGCATCACGCAAACGTTCCCTGCATCAGACGCCCGCTCTGCTGCATGCGACTGTGTGTGCCACCGCAATGTCACTGCAGGCCTGGCCTGAGGCTCGCTGCTCTGGGCTGGGGCGGCTGGGGACGAGACGGAGCGGCGGGAGCTGCGGGTGGTGCGGTCGGATCCGGGACCGCAGCGGGCTCCGGCGGCTCCGGCGGCTCCGGCAGCATCGGCGGCGCAGGGGTCGCAGAAGGCGCAGAAGGCGCGGAAGGCACCGAAGGCGCGGCGGGCACGCCGATGCGGCTGTACCAGCGCTCCCATGTCTCCGGCCGTCGTACGGGAGCACGGGACCTGAACGCAGCAGAAATCGACCAAATGTACACAGAGTACACATGAAGTATCTGATTCTGAGTAGTTGCAATCTGCGTAACGTCTGTTGACAAATTACAAAAACATCGCAGGCACCAGCATGCACCTTGCATCCATGCACTGGCATCTCGCTCTGAGCCCTTTACCGTGCGAGGTGCTGGGCGACCTGCGAGCTCTCCTTGGCGCTCAAGGCACTGAGCGCAGCCCAGAGTTCCCTGCTTCCAGACGCTTCCTCCGGGTCGTCCCAAGTTGCACCAGTGCCACCGGTGCCCAAAGGCTCCAGGGGTGGCTCCAGACCAGCAGCCGCCGCCAAGGCCACCAGGGCGGCCAGCGACGCAGAAGGAAAGGCTGGAGAGGGAGGAACGCCAGCACTCTCGGCAGCCATTCTCACAGCCTGTGTGGTCTGCGTCCAGGCGACCAGCGCCCCAGAGGCCTCCAAAGCAGGCGGAGGGACCAGGGCCGCGAGGAGGGCGACCTCGCCCAAACACCTTGCGTCCAGCTCCTGATGGGGGACGATCGGGGTACGGTAGGATATGGCATATGGCAGGACACTATTCACTATTCACTACTCAGATTCTACGCGACCCAAGCTGCACCACAAGGCAATAGCACGCAGAGCCCTGGAGAAGACCACATCTGTGGGGTCCTCCGGAGCGAGGGAGAACACCAAGCCCCAAAGGCTTCGGTCATAGCCAGATGCTTCTGCAACAAAGGCATCGATGACTCCAGCGGCATCAGTCTGATTTCGGATGCCAGTGTCCGTGTCCGCCTCTGCGATGACCTCTGCCCAAGCGCTGGCTTGGCTTTGCACCGGCTTTGCCAGTGCTGTGAGGAAGGACACCACGGCTTTGGTGCACTCACCTTGCTTGGACGACGTCCTTGGGATGTCTTATAGTTGCAATGACCTGGCAGATCCTGGCAGCCTAACTGCACTTTCCTGTTGGTTGCAGAATCCAGATGAAGCCCCTCCTCCGAAAATGAAGCCTCAGTCCCCCACAACAAACCAGTATACTGAGTATGTCCAGCTTTGCCGGGCTGGTGTCGTCTGATGCTGGGCGTTCGCAGGATTGATGAGGCGTCATCCAACCCTCTCTGTCTTTTTGTCCCTCTTCATGCCCTCTCTGTCTATTTCCCACTTAATTGCCATCTCGATTTGGGAGCTGCCCCACTTTTTGAACCTGCTCTTGGTCGGCAAGTTGCGTGACGTGGGCCAGGAGTGGCTGAAGCAGTGAAGCATCACAGGCGGCCAAGGCCAGCCGGCTCCGGTGCAAATCAAGGCCAACAAGGCGCTCTTGCATGGAGAAGCACCCAATCACGCCCAAGTCCTTAATACGAATAGGGAGCCCTGCAAACGACTTCTTTGAAGTGGGCCTCTCTGGAGCTTGCCAGGGTGCATCGGCGATGACATCAGCCTCCAGCTCTCCGCCAAAGGCAATGTCCGGGGAGCCCAGGCCTTGGGCGACTTTAGAAAAGCGGCACCCCCCCAACCCCCTTCCCAACCTTTGGCACATATATGGCGGCACAGGACAGGGAAGCCCACCCCAATCTTTCAACGTCTTTCAACTCCAGCCCTCGGATTCAGCAAACCCATTCACCATCACTCGTGAGCCCCTCACGGCTGACGTGTCCTGTCCTACTGCGAGGTTGGGAATTGCAAAAGCTCATTCCAAGCCCATCTGACAGAGCAACGGGCCATGGTCTGTCCAAAGTTAGCAACAAGTGCAGTGATAGTGCCGAACGGACCGAAGCAAGCGAACACTGAATCGGGAGATTGCTTGGGCCAGGTAAAGGGAGGCAGGCAACTGATGCTCACATGACGCTTGCTTTGGGCATTTGGTCAGGGCCATGCAAGAAGGGCTGGCTAGCTGATGCTCATGATGCTCCCGTGCTTTGGGCACTGGAAAAACAGCCGGCCAGCTGATGATCCTGATGCTCCCGCGCTTTGAGCACTGGAAGCATGCAAGAAGGGCTGGCCAGCTGATGCTCATGATGCTCCCGTGCTTTGGCTGGCAAAACAGCCGGCCAGCTGATGCTCATGATGCTCCCGCGCTTTGGGCACTGGAAACATGCAAGAAGGGCTGGCCAACTGATGCTCATGATGCTCCCGTGCTTTGGGCACTGGAAAAACAGCCGGCCAGCTGATACTCATGATGCTCCCGCGCTTTGAGCTCTGGAAACATGCAAGAAGGGCTGGCTAGCTGATGCTCATGATGCTCCCGTGCTTTGGGCACTGGAAAAACAGCCGGCCAGCTGATGATCCTGATGCTCCCGCGCTTTGAGCACTGGAAGCATGCAAGAAGGGCTGGCCAGCTGATGCTCATGATGCTCCCGTGCTTTGGCTGGCAAAACAGCCGGCCAGCTGATGCTCATGATGCTCCCGCGCTTTGGGCACTGGAAACATGCAAGAAGGGCTGGCCAACTGATGCTCATGATGCTCCCGTGCTTTGGGCACTGGAAAAACAGCCGGCCAGCTGATACTCATGATGCTCCCGCGCTTTGAGCTCTGGAAACATGCAAGAAGGGCTGGCCAGCTGATGCTCATGATGCTCCCGTGCTTTGGCTGGCAAAACAGCCGGCCAGCTGATGCTCATGATGCTCCCGCTTTGGGCACTGGAAGCATGCAAGAAGGGCTGGCCAGCTGATGCTCATGATGCTCCCGTGCTTTGGCTGGAAAAACAGCCGGCCAGCTGAGGCTCATGATGCTCCCGCGCTTTGGGCACTGGAAACATGCAAGAAGGGCTGGCCAGCTGATGCTCATGATGCTCCCGTGCTTTGGCTGGCAAAACAGCCGGCCAGCTGATGCTCATGATGCTCCCGCGCTTTGAGCACTGCAAACATGCAAGAAGGGCCAGCTGATGCTCATGATGCTCCCGTGCTTTGGGCACTGGAAACAGCCAGCCAGCTGATGCTCATGATGCCCCCGCGCTTTGGGCACTGGAAACATGCAAGAAGGGCTGGCCAGCTGATGCTCATGATGCTCCCGCGCTTTGGGCACTGGAAGCATGCAAGAAGGGCTGGCTAGCTGATGCTCCCGCGCTTTGGGCACTGGAAACATGCAAGAAGGGCTGGCCAGCTGATGCTCATGATGCTCCCGCGCTTTGGGCACTGGAAACATGCAAGAAGGGCTGGCCAGCTGATGCTCATGATGCTCCCGTGCTTTGGGCACTGGAAAAACAGCCGTCCAGCTGATGCTCATGATGCTCCCGCGCTTTGAGCACTGGAAACATGCAAGAAGGGCTGGCCAGCTGATGCTCATGATGCTCCCGTGCTTTGCGCACTGGAGAAACAGCCGGCCAGCTGATGCTCCTGATGCTCCTGCGCTTGGGGCACTGGAAACTCGCAAGAATGGCTGGCTAGCTGATGCTCATGATGCTCCCGTGCTTTGGGCACTGGAAAAACAGTCAGCCAGCTGATGCTCATGATGCTCCCGCGCTTTGGGCACTGGAACTCGCAAGAAGGGCTGGCCAGCTGATGGTACAGTAATGATTTTCCCATGCTTTGGGCAGTGGAAAAACAGCCGGCCAGCTGATGCTCATGATGCTCCCGTGCTTTGGGCACTGGAAAAACAGCCGGCCAGCTGATGCTCCTGATGCTCCTGCGCTTGGGGCACTGGAAACTCGCAAGAATGGCTGGCCAGCTGATGCTCATGATGCTCCCGTGCTTTAGGCACTGGAAAAACAGTCGGCCAGCTGATGCTCATGATGCTCCCGCGCTTTGGGCACTGGAAACTCGCAAGAAGGGCTGGCCAGCTGATGGTACAGTAATGATGCTCCCATGCTTTGGGCAGTGGAAAAACAGCCGGCCAGCTGATGCTCATGATGCTCCCGTGCTTTGGGCACTGGAAAAACAGCCGGCCAGCTGATGCTCATGATGCTCCCGCGCTTTGAGCACTGGAAACATGCAAGAAGGGCTGGCCAGCTGATGCTCATGATGCTCCCGTGCTTTGGGCACTGGAAACAGCCGGCCAGCTGATGCTCATGATGCCCCCGCGCTTTGGGCACTGGAAACATGCAAGAAGGCTGGCCAGCTGATGCTCATGATGCTCCCGTGCTTTGGGCACTGGAAAAACAGCCGGCCAGCTGATGCTCATGATGCTCCCGCGCTTTGAGCACTGGAAACATGCAAGAAGGGCTGGCCAGCTGATGCTCATGATGCTCCCGTGCTTTGGGCACTGGAAACATGTAAGAAGGGCCGGCCAGCTGATGCTCATGATGCCCCCGCGCTTTGGGCACTGGAAACATGCAAGAAGGGCTGGCCAGCTGATGCTCATGATGCTCCCGTGCTTTGGGCACTGGAAACATGCAAGAAGGGCTGGCCAGCTGATGCTCATGATGCTCCTGCGCTTGGGGCACCGGAAACTCGCAAGAAGGGCTGGCCAGCTGATGCTCATGATGCTCCCGTGCTTTGGGCACTGGAAAAACAGCCGGCCAGCTGATGCTCATGATGCTCCTGCGCTTTGGGCACTGGAAACATGCAAGAAGGGCTGGCCAGCTGATGCTCATGATGCTCCCGTGCTTTGGGCACTGGAAACAGCCGGCCAGCTGATGCTCATGATGCCCCCGCGCTTTGGGCACTGGAAACATGCAAGAAGGGCTGGCCAGCTGATGCTCATGATGCTCCCGTGCTTTGGGCACCGGAAAAACAGCCGGCCAGCTGATGCTCATGATGCTCCCGCGCTTGGGGCACTGGAAGCATGCAACAAGGGCTGGCCAGCTGATGCTGATGATGCTCCCGTGCTTTGGGCACTGGAAAAACAGCCGGCCAGCTGATGCTCATGATGCTGCCGCGCTTTGGGCACTGGAAACTCGCAAGAAGGGCTGGCCAGCTGATGCTCTGATGCTCCCGTGCTTTGGGCACTGGAAAAACAATCGGCCAGCTGATGCTCATGATGCTCCTGCGCTTTGGGCACTGGAAACATGCAAGAAGGGCTGGCCAGCTGATGCTCATGATGCTCCCGCGCTTTGGGCACTGGAAACATGTAAGAAGGGCCGGCCAGCTGATGCTCATGATGCTCCCGTGCTTTGGGCACTGGAAAAACAGCCGGCCAGCTGATGCTCATGATGCTCCCGCGCTTTGGGCACTGGAAACATGCAAGAAGGGCTGGCCAGCTGATGCTCACGATGCTCTCGTGCTTTGGGCACTGGAAAAACAGCCGGCCAGCTGATGCTCATGATGCTCCCGCGCTTTGGGCACTGGAAACATGCAAGAAGGGCTGGCCAGCTGATGCTCACGATGCTCTCGTGCTTTGGGCACTGGAAAAACAGCCGGCCAGCTGATGCTCATGATGCTCCCGCGCTTTGGGCACTGGGAACATGCAAGAAGGGCTGGCCAGCTGATGCTCATAATGTTCCCGTGCTTTGTGGAAACATGCAAGAAGGGCTGGCCAGCTGATGCTCATGATGCTCCCGTGCTTTGGGCACTGGAAACATGCAAGAAGGGCTGGCCAGCTGATGCTCATGATGCTCCCGTGCTTTGGGCACTGGAAAAACAGCCGGCCAGCTGATGCTCATGATGCTCCCGCGCTTTGGGCACTGGAAACATGCAAGAAGGGCTGGCCAGCTGATGCTCATGATGCTCCCGCGCTTTGGGCACTGGAAACTCGCAAGAAGGGCTGGCCAGCTGATGCTCATGATGCTTCCGTGCTTTGGGCACTGGAAAAACAGATGCTCATGATGCTCCCGCGCTTTGAGCACTGGAAACATGCAAGAAGGGCTGGCCAGCTGATGCTCATGATGCTCCCGTGCTTTGCGCACTGGAAAAACAGCCGGCCAGCTGATGCTCCTGATGCTCCTGCGCTTGGGGCACCGGAAACTCGCAAGAAGGGCTGGCCAGCTGATGCTCATGATGCTCCCGTGCTTTGGGCACTGGAAAAACAGTCGGCCAGCTGATGCTCATGATGCTCCCGCGCTTTGGGCACTGGAAACTCGCAAGAAGGGCTGGCCAGCTGATGGTACAGTAATGATGCTCCCATGCTTTGGGCAGTGGAAAAACAGCCGGCCAGCTGATGCTCATGATGCTCCCGTGCTTTGGGCACTGGAAAAACAGCCGGCCAGCTGATGCTCATGATGCTCCCGCGCTTTGGGCACAGGAAGCATGCAAGAAGGGCTGGCTAGCTGATGCTCCCGCGCTTTGGGCACTGGAAACATGCAAGAAGGGCTGGCCAGCTGATGCTCATGATGCTTGTGCTTTGGGCAGTGGAACAACAGCCGGCCAGCTGATCTCATGATGCTCCCGCGCTTTGAGCACTGGAAACATGCAAGAAGGGCTGGCCAGCTGATGCTCATGATGCTCCCGTGCTTTGGGCACTGGAAAAACAGCCGGCCAGCTGATGCTCATGATGCTCCCGCGCTTGGGGCACTGGAAGCATGCAAGAAGGGCTGGCCAGCTGATGCTGATGATGCTCCCGTGCTTTGGGCACTGGAAAAACAGCCGGCCAGCTGATGCTCATGATGCTGCCGCGCTTTGGGCACTGGAAACTCGCAAGAAGGGCTGGCCAGCTGATGCTCATGATGCTCCCGTGCTTTGGGCACGGGAAAAACAATCGGCCAGCTGAAGCTCATGATGCTCCTGCGCTTTGGGCACTGGAAACATGCAAGAAGGGCTGGCCAGCTGATGCTCATGATGCTCCCGCGCTTTGGGCACTGGAAACATGTAAGAAGGGCCGGCCAGCTGATGCTCATGATGCTCCCGTGCTTTGGGCACTGGAAGCATGTAAGAAGGGCCGGCCAGCTGATGCTCATGATGCTCCCGCGCTTTGGGCACTGGAAACATGCAAGAAGGGCTGGCCAGCTGATGCTCATGATGCCGCTCTTTGGGCCCTGGAAAAACAGCCGGCTAGCTGATGCACACTCCCGTGCTTTTGCCATTGGGAAAACGAGGCCGGCCAGCTGATGCACATGATGCTCCCATGCTTTGGGCACTGCCAAGAGGGGCAGACCAGCTGAGGCCCATGGTGCTTGATTGCTTTGGGCACTGGAAAAACAGCCGGCCAGCTGATGCTCATGATGCTCCCGCTCGTTGAGCACTGAGAAAGAGGGCCGGCCAGCAGATGCTCATGACGCTCCCGTGCTAAACAGGCCGGCTGGATCCCGCGCTTTGGGCACTGGGAAAAAAGAGGTCGGCCAGCTGATCCTCGTGCTGCTCCCGTGCTTTGCACACTAGGAAGAAGGGGCCATCCAGCTGATGCTCATGCTGCTTGACTGCTCTGTGGAAACGGGGCCAGCTGAGGCACGGGAAAAAGCAGGCCGGCCAGCGGATGCTCATGATGCTTGACTGCTTGGGCAGCTGATGCCCTGTTCGCCGTCTTGATACCATTTATTCTTGGCTTGTGAATGCTGTTGAGATGATCGTGAAGACTTGACACAAGCTTCTCCACATAGCGACGTTTGCGAGATGTGACATTGTATGACATAATCAAGATTCGGCAGTTTCGGGGAAATCATTCTCCAATTGCCGAGCTGGCCGGGGACGGTGACGGCTTGCTACCCTGCCCCAAGCGAAGCATCATGAGCGTCCTGCCGCGGCCGCTGTCCTAGTGTTACCTCCACCCCCCATCGTTTTCCATCACCCTAGGGTTTAGGGTTTAGGGTTTAGGGTTTAGGGTTTAGGGGTTTAGGGGTTTAGGGGTTTAGGGGTTTAGGGGTTTAGGGGTTTAGGGGTTTGGGGTTTAGGGTTTAGGGTTTAGGGTTTAGGGTTTAGGGTTTAGGGAGGTGCTGCCAAACGATGGGGGGGTGACGTAGTGTTAGCTAGACTGGGTTCTGTGACCGTGAAGAAGCAGATAGACTCAGGCGCTCGCCACAAAGCGCCAGCAGCACCGCATTTTTCAGCTCTGGCAGCTCTCTGGGAAGGACATCGCTGCCAGCCTCCTCTGCACAGCAGAGCCCCTCACGACCCCTCCCACACCCCACCCGCCCACCCCCCCTCGGACACAATAAAAACGAAGAAGAGAAAACAAAAACAAAAAAACAGGAAAAAGGGCACAGCGTGCACAGCAAGAGCTCCGGGCAAAAGCGCCTCGGAGAAGCCGAGGACGCCCTTTGCCAAGGCCAGGGCCCAGTGGGGGTCGCCGTTCGCCCACTCCCAGAGGCTCCCCGTCTGCAAGGGCCCGGAGCCCTCGAAGCGGGACCTCATGCATCGATCTGCATGGGCCCTGAATTGACCGGACCTCTTGAAACACAGCCATGCGCTGAGATGCAACTTGTTGGAATCTGGTGCAGTTCTGCCGCCATGCGGCAGGATCGTGAGGATCCAAATGCAGATCAGCTGAAAGGATCTTTGCAGCTGCCTCTCTTCCTCCCCACTGCAGCTTGCTTCGGTCTCAAAGCGGCAGAGTGCCCCGTAGACCTGGCAAGGCTCACAATGTTCTGCGGGCAGCAACATTTTGTAGGTTGCTAACTTGTCCAAATGTCATGTCGGATAATGTCGGGAATGACCCTACCTGCATGGAGATCATGTCGAAATCCGCAGCCACGGGTTCAAGATACCTTTCCAACCGCTGGCAAGGGTTTTCAGATGAGTCCTTTGCCTTGTCTCGCTTCTTGGCGAGGTGCGGTGCGATCTGGGCGCGCTTCGCATAGCCTCCAGTCAAATGAGAGCTGAGGGATGGGTCTTGAGCCGCCAGTGCACTCCACTCCCGAATCCCAAGCTCCCGGCGGTGGCTCGGGATGCTCATGTCATGGTTGCCTCAAAGTTGGTGTCGAATTCGATTATTTCACTGAGATGAAGCGTCCTATAGACACATCGCGAGACACTGCGCGGCGAACGAGAATCCGAAGGGCGGTCTGCGGCCGAGCCGCCCAAGGAGAGCAGCCCCGCCACTGCTGCCAGGCCTCTCAGCTGCCCTCCGCGAACTTCCGGAATCTTCCGGACTTCCATACTTCGACCCCACTCACCCCGTTCCCCTCCCCAGTTTTCATCCGCCCCTGCTTTTGCATCCTTTTGCAGATTGCAGGCAGGCAGCTCATGGCAATCGCCTGCGCCAGCTCGACGCTGAAGCCCCACCTGGGACTGCTTCACGCTGGCTTGCACACAGTTTCATCTGCAGGGCGCCCGCACGGGACTACGCTGGTCACGCGAGCAACATGGAGCAGGATGTGCCCGAGCGGTGGGATGCGACGGGCGAGCTGAATTTGAAGAGGAATGTTCTGTCTGATACTGAGAGGAAGTTTCTTCTTGCAAAAGGGTTGATATACATTTTTCTAGTAATGGTATACCTATATAGATATTCTCTCCGAGGTGCACAACCAGACTCTGGTCGAAGCATTCGGTCATCTGCGAGGCGAGCTGCAGATCCACCGCGTTGGTCAGTCCTACCATTCGAGGGGTCTCAGCATCTAACTCAACTTCGCGCTCTCGACTTCTCTGTCTCTGAAACTTGCGGCCTTTAAGGAGGCCTCTTGTGGATTTCAACTTTTGGGGTTAAACCTCCCGGCCTATGCAGTCCAGGGCCAGCTGGCACAGCAGCGCTGTGGCCTGCGTGTTCATGCTCCAATTACGAACAGAGCTGATTGAACAAACGGTACACAGGCCATCCAAGAAAACCGAAGGCTGAAGAAGTCAGCTGCTCACGACCTTACCAGAATTGAGAAATACCTTGAAGTGTCTGATATCCATGAATGCAGAGCGACAGGTCTCAAATTGGCCACGATGGGCTGGAACCTAGAGGCCAAGAGCCTCACCATATTCCTCAGCCCTAAAGATCCGGTACTCGGTTCACACTGCACACTCTCTGTACTACAGCGCCGAGAAACATCCGTACTTAACATCCCTCAACTCAGCGGCTGCAGAGCGCTTGCGCGGCTTGCGCGCCATGCGAGAGCGCCTGTGGTATGGTGACGCCGGTGCTGGCGCCAGGACGAAGCAGCTCCAGGGCCTCCTCTCTTGAGCAACGATCAACAGACAACAGTCGCAGCGCGCCGCTCCCTCTGCGTGCTGTCCATTTCTCCGCTTACGTCGCGCTGGCAACGTGCCGAACCTTCACTGGGAAGATCTTCTCGCCACTGGCCAGCACATAGGGATGTACAAACAGCCTTTCTCTCCCTCTCCCATAGCCATAAAGCCGCTTCGCACAAACAACCAAGCCAAGAACTAGCACCTACAAGATCTACAAATCCCGCGCAACAAATCTCAGAATGAACTCACCTCACCTCGAACTCTCCCAACACCAGCAATCTTGCTCAGCGTGTTGGTATCTATCGGAAGGTCTCTCCAGCCGCAAGGTTCAACATGGCTCCTGCGCCTGACATTCAAAGGACTGCGCCCGGTCGGCTCCTTCGAAGATGTGAGATGGACGTCAAGTCTTAAAGTCTTAAAGTCTTAAGTGAATCACAGGATAGAACAGGCATCTGGGGCTCGCACCGACACAGTTGGCCAGGCGCAAGCTGCCCGCGCACGAGACGACATGCTGCAATGCGGTGATGATCTCACCGTAGTCCATGGCTCAGACTCGGCACCCCGGCAGCCTCTATTCGACGCAAGCCCCATCCATGCTTGCCATGCTTGCTAACTGGCTCGCATACATGCTCCTGATCCGCCGGCCAGCATCGCAACAGCATGAGTACTGCATCAGTCCCTCTTCAGCGTTGCAAGCCACCCTGCTGCGTGAGGGCCAAACCCAATTGAGCACCGGATCGGACTCCAACCAAGTCGAAGCCCTTGATCAGCGCCTCAGGCTCGTGGGCTGCTTTAATCTTAAGGGCTCTGACAGACTCGACGCGCGGCACGAGCACGGACAGACTGTGTCAAGTCATGCTGTCGAAAGCTCCGCGCCATGTTGATTCCGAACTTCGGGATGGTGCCGGACCTCCGTTCACGGCCCTTGCTCAGCAGGTGCTCAGCACAAGACAATTACGAACGCACGACAGAGCGCCTCTCATGAGGCTCTTGGGGATCCTCTGTCACTTGGCCTCTGACGCGAAGCCGACGACAAGCAGCCGGGCATAGCCCTTCGGTGTCACGCATCTCCTGCACCAACGCAGCGCGAGTCCTCAGGTGCTCGCAGGCACGCAAACTGAGGCAAGGACACGCACTGGTCAAAAATCTCGCCCCCCACAGGGTCGTAGATAACCTCGCGGCAGTTCCGCTTTAACAAACTTCTGAAAAGTGGCATAACTTCATGGACACTGGCTCATTCCCACCTGTGTCACGGAACAGCATTTGCACTTCTATTTGCATTTGCAAAACCCTGGCAGGCATGGCATTTCCGAGCAGGGCCTTTTTCTTCTTGGCGCCGGGGGGGGGGGGGGCCTAAAGTAAGCGTGTTGGATTTCTGAACTAGTGTGAGGCCAGGGGTGTGGCAAGAAACTGCAGAATCCGTTTTGGTTTCTTTCGTGCGGGCATGGACGCTAATCAACACAAAATGTGTGGATCATCGCAGCAGCATTGTGCAAAACAGAAATGGCCTTGTCTAAGAAAGAGTGTAGTGGAGACGCTTGTGCGATAAAACCGCAAGTACTGAACTGTGAAAGTATGTGAACATACACTTCAAAGAACATGGGCGGGCACGTGCCGCAGTCCGACTACATGCTCGTCTGTGCTGGTGCTCTGGGAGCTGCGCGTCGCAAAACTCGCCCTTTGTGATCTCTCCGACCTCTGCAGAGATCTGCACAGAGATCTGCAGAGCTCGCCCTACATTGCCCTACATGATCCTGAACAGTGTGAAGGTGAGCTGGCGGCTGCATCCTTCAGCTTCTGCTTGCTGTAGTTAACCACGTAGTCGGCGCCCAACTGACTCACTGAACGCAAACGCAACGCAACAGAGCACTCAGAGCACCTTCTCTCCAACATTCCGCGCTCCCGCCTTCTTGCACATCTCTAGCTTGTCGTCTGAGCTTGCAGCTGCGATGACCTGCACCGGGTCAGTGCGTATGCTTTCGAAGAAGATGGAGCAGGAGCAGAGTGCTGAAGGGAGCCATCGATGTTGGAATATTGGGCTTCGGAGGTCTGGGAGCAAGCTAAACCGGTATCCACTAAAACCCGTGCACCGAGATGCCCAGACGCCTAGCAGAAGGCATGACACTCGTCTATAGGTCTATAGTCTATATAAGTCAATGTCTGAAGAGGGCCTGCCCTAGGGAACAGAAGGGAACAGAAACAATGCAGTGTTTCAAACGCCCGCACATGGTCATGGCATGGCCAATTTTCGTTCGCGAGCTCCATGGCAAGTCTTCCAGGGATGCGGACTCACTCAAAGTCCACCTCCACACTCCGCATTTCACCGTTCATGAACCACTCGGACAACTCGGGATCATCGCACTTCAGAACTGCGTTGAAGAGGTTGAACAGCCAGGCCTTGCAAGAAGACAAACACGCTCACAAGGGCAGGCCGCTGAGGAACAAAACGGGAGATAAATGAGGGACAATGGTGTGGTCTTGTATTCTTTAGACTCCTAGAACCTCTACAAAAGCGTGCCGGCACACTAGTCTTCGTTTGGTGATTCGCTAGATCTGCACAGACAGATGTTGAAAATTCCACAGGTGATATCTCTGCGAGGCCTATCACTCCGTGTTCGGCGGGCCCGAGCCAGGTTGCTTGTTCCTTTGTGATACCTATCATGTACGACATCTTTCTAGGTCCTCGCCTAAAGCTTAGGCCTAGTCTTCGAGCGATTCTTGCTTTTTTGCCCCCGATTTGGTTCGCGAGCCCTCCTGTCAGAGTCAACGTGTTGCGGCAGGCATTCCTTTTCACATCTGACGCCTATCTTAAAGTTGAAACCTGGCAAACCCTGCCCAAGTAAGACCTCGACTCAGAGTCTGTTCTCGTGTGTGCTTTTGCTAGGGCTGCGAGTAGACTTTGCACTGCGCACTGACCCCGACTTGGTTCCCAGTCAGAAACACGCAGGCCCGTCGCTACAAGGCGCACAGCCACCCAGAGACAAAGAACACTGGTTTGCAGAAACGGAGGGCTTGAAGGAAAGGTCCACACAGATTAAGCACAACCGCAGGGGGATTGTTTTCTCCAGTGTGCGCCCCGGACCATAGAAAGGGATTCTTTTAACGAAGGCCGCCGAGTGGCAGAGTGTGTGGAGATCACCATCTCCTTCTCGGGGCGGTCTCTGACCCAGAGCATGAAGTCGTAGGCCCTCTGGGCAACTTCGATGTCACTCTCGTGATGTAGTGTAGAGAGCAAAGGGTCCTCGCAACTGTGGTTCACGAAAGTGCTTGCAACGTGCAAATTGCAAATGGCGCCTTGGCTGTTGACGGTACCAGGTCTCCACCCGACTCACACGCTCCCCAGCCTCCTCGGGAATCAAAGAGAAGTCCACGTTCGGAAAGTCCTCCATGCACTGGCTGATACAGACATCACCGGGCTCCATTCAAAGAGCCGTGTAACGTTCGGAAGAGTCCTGCTTCGCATCTGAAGCTGATCGCCGAAAGTCACAAGAGTTGCCATGGCTCTTCTCTTTGCCTTACGGATTACGGAGGCCAGAAAACTTTCTTATGACGTTTCGATTTGTTCGCAGGGCTCTTTTGCTAGTCGTTTAAAAAATTTTCTGCCAAGTCGCACGACTCGTGCGCAATGAATGGAGTGTGGCCAATGCAGTGAGCGAAGGCGATGTTCGACGTCATCAAAGCCCGGGACATCGGCGAGACGACCACCAGCTGTGCATTCGTCTGACGTGCCCGGCTCTGCAAAGCTTTGGCCTTGCAGACTTGGCTGCTCTTAGCAGGGTAGCTTAACTTTTAGCTGCCTTCTTAAGAAACCCAATAAACCCAAAAAGGCTAAAGATGTTAAAGTTACAGTAAAGCACCACAAAGCAGAAATTCTGAAGAAAGCGCATGAAAGCGTGCCATAAAGAGTGCAAGACTAGTGCACGGTAGCACAGAACAGAGCGAACCCCCTTGACGAAACCCTCGAGCCGGCTCTCCTGTTGCCTTCCGATCTCCGTCAGGGGCGGGTCGAAGACCTCTGTGAAACGTTGACTTGAATCTTCACCGGACGCTGTTGTGCCCAGGCAAGGCTTATGCACTCCTTTTCTTGTTCAACTCAAGAACCTCCGGAATGTTGTAGGGGCTGACCTTTCCCCGCACCTGGGCTTTCACTGATCTCTCCTCCCGACTTGAACGTGGGAGTGAAAAGAACGATTCATGGGCGCCTTGTACACCTTACAGAAGTCGTTCAAGCTGTTGTGGAAGCCCTGGCCATGCCGGATGAAGTGCAGAATCCTGAACTCTCGAGCAGCGCCATGCAACCCAATGCACTCCGTTCTTACAGTATCTGGATTTTTGTGAGGCTTTTCAGTTTCGGCTCTCAAAGAGTGCACTATGCTCGTTGGGACTAAGGCCCGCGCTTTCCAAGCTTGCCGGGCTTTCCGGCGGGCACCCTGCAGGTCATCCGAACAGGCCAGGCCTGGAGAGCAAAGTGCGGAAGGTTGTTGATTCTTTAAAGCTCCTTTCTATAGGAGCATAGCTGTGACGTGACGTGGAATAGCTTATGCTAGGGCACTATATGTTTAAGGGCTCTCTGTGGAGCCCACTTTGCACCTTCCCCAGCACGCCCGCCGCGCGAAGGCGCTCGCGGTTCTGGGCGCCGTCCTGGGCAGCCGTCTCCTGGGCCATTGGGCCATTGGGCCAGGGGCCACCAAGTACACCACTTGCAGCAAGCCAAAGGTGCTAAGGAGCGATTACGAAAGAAACCGCCTTATCAAGAGCGCCTTAGGCATTTGCGTGTCCTCCGTGTGCTCTTGATTGTTGAGCTACTGCGCTTTTTTATGAGCAAGTTCGTCTTCAATAACCCAGGTGGGCTCACGCGGGCCTCCTGCAGGGCTTCTTCGGCCCAGGGTTTCTCCACGGCTTCGCCCTTCTTTGATTCTGCAAATTCAATCCATTTGCTGGCCATCCGTTTAGCTTCTCTGTGGCTCTCGTTCTGTAGCATGCTGTGCCTTGCCTTGTGTGCTCTTGTGATTGATGATTGTTGTTTGGCGCTTGGTCTCTGACTTAGTCTCCCATGTGTTGCGCTCGTTCCACGCGAGGAACTCGACAGCCAACCTCTGGACCGGACCTGGCCTTGGCCGCCGCCGACCACAGGTTGCGCTGCAGAGCCGCAGAGCCCTCAAACTCCGCATACTCCTCAACTCTGCTCTCAAGGTAGAAGAGTGCTACAGAGTAGTATAGATCGTGCAGATCAGAACAATCCCACATTCGGTTCTCAGTCTCAAAGCGAGAGTGTCGGGTACGCCGCGCCTGCTGCGGCCTTGCCGAACTCTTTTGGAGGCTTGACAACGCCCAGCCGAAGGCGGCACCGACCAGCACCCCCGCCACGGAGGTTAGCATGGCTCAACTCACTCTGCAAGGCCATCCCCAGGCATCTCCTTACGTCTGAATATAAGTCTACGGCAAATAAATATCGCTGTATCACTTCGCTGTACTTCTCCAATGGGCAGGGCTGGGACGCGCAGAATATTGTGGGAAAAGCTGAAACGTGGGAAGTTCATTTGGACAGAGAGAGTTTTTGCTGTTAAATCACCTTTCGAGAGCACAAGAAGGATCGAAATCAGAAGAGAAACGGCTCAAAGCCCTTCGCTCTCCCGAAAAAGCTCTGGGATCATCTGGGGGCCCACGCTTTCGCTCCGACGGCTTTTCCCAGCTCCACAGCCATAGAGCCCATGCCACCCCCAGCGCCTGTCACCTTAAAAATGGAATGGCTTTGCTTGCTTCTGATGCATACACACATACAAAAACACACAAACGCAAACACACAAACGCGCGCACGCGCGCACACACTCACACCTGCACAGCAATGAGATCTGTGAGCCCTCCGAGCAGATGGCCAACAACCACTCACCGGCTCTAAGCCGCCCTCGCGTCACGAGGCCATGGTAGCCTCTGGCAAAACCGAGAAAAGCAAAGGCCGCACGAGAGAGAGAGAGAGAGAGCGCGCTCTCCTGTCATGTAGCCCATGTGAAAGCTCGCCTGCAGCAGATCAAAGGCCGAGAGAAGTTCATAAAGGCCCTGGTTTCCCTGAGAGTATAGGGTAGTATAGGTGCCCGGCCGCTTGGCTGAAAGACAGGGGCTCCGGCATCTTGATGCACATCTGCTCAAAGTTAAGGTTGAGTCAAAAGAAGGTGCGCCCGCCTTCTGAACTGGGGCAGACCAGGGTCCAAGACATGCTCAGGTGACCTGTGCCGGCAGCACGAGCTCTTCCGCAGCGCAGCCCGCCATTGTCGCCTAGGCTTCGGCAACCCAGCTTTCCTGACATTCTTCGGGAATTGGGACCAGGGAATCGGCGTAGAAGACCTTGTCGCCCACGGACAAGCCGCTGACCTGGCAGAACGATGCAGAACGTGCAGCCATATGGAATATGGACTGTGGCCAGCTGAGCTTTCATCTACTATTTTTATCGACTTTCTCGTGCTACGCTCATCAGCTCATCCTCTCGCATGGTGTTTGAATGGCTCTGCGTGCACGTAGCCTCCAAAAAAGAGCCCAATCTCTGCGTTGCCGCTCCTGGAGCCTGTAACCCGCCACAAATGGGTACCCCCCCTAGAAACCGGGGCCCGCAAGCCGACGGCCCGTCCCAGCAGCCCCCCCCCTACCCACCCCCCCCCCAGCCCCTACCACACCCACCCACAGCGACTCGAGCGCTGTGGAATCACCATGCTCAGGCGGATGCGCTGTGGGCCGGGCCGAGGCGGGTCGCGTAGCGTTAAGATTAGGTGCTCCCAGTCTTGCGCGACGTGCGTGCATGCAAAAAACAATTCTTTCATCGGCAGCGTCTTAGTTGAACCTGCACCAATTTCCAACAAATTTCTCTTGGTGGCGACCGTGCAGATTCTTCAGTTCTTGGGTTGGACATGATGCATGGGCAGCGCGGCGCGTGTTTTTCCATGTTTAGCTGCTGCAGATGAAGCTAAGCAAAAAGATGATGAATTTAGCAAGCTCCACCTTGCGGCCTGTCTCCACCACAATCCCGGCACCTCTCAAAGAGTCTTTCATCCGCGGAACTGTCCCCGTGCGATGAATGAATACGACAACATGCTTCAGATGAGAAAAGTCTTTTCTTGGCCGGCCTTCCGTACAAAGAACAAACGGCAGCTTGGGCTTGTACTGGTACCTGAGATTTGAGCACAAACCATGTGAGATTCTCTGCGGTTCAAACATGAGAACGGCACTTGTTCTGCATCATCAGCAGCTCTGGAAAATTCAACGACGCTGCTCTTGCAGATATGCGCACCTGAACTAGAGAATCAAACATTCTGCCGGACAATCTCATACATGTACTTCAGCAGTGTCGCCCTACAGTCTTGAAGAGCTGAATCTCTGAACTTTGCCATGGCCTCCTGATCGCCCAGCTCTGCTTTGCAAGGGACTTCACGCACCACGGCAGCCTGCCCGATTAGCATTTCGCTCTTGCTGCGCTCGTGCTATTGACACACTAAACTTCAACGACCTTAAAAGCAAAGCAGTCACAGGCGCCACCTCGATACCTTCAGTTGCGGATGGCGAGATCTTCTCGCACATCACTGCCCTCACAGTTCAGAGTGCATCACGTGGCACCGTGGGGGCACGGCCATTCTTATGGCCATGAAAGCTCCGCAGTTTCTTTTGTCCTGTCTAAGTCGAAAATTAAGCTTCTGAGTCGAGAGCCTGTAGGTGCCCGGCGCCATGGCTTTGTGCAGGGGCGATGATCGCTGCGCTAAGAAGCGGCCACGAGCCTCTGATCGTCAAAAGCTTTCTGTTCTTGATTCCATGATTCCGTGCCACTAAAGTGAGATTCCTGGACAGCTTCAGGTCATTTGCACAACCAGCTTTGAGCCAAACGCAGCGGACATGGGTCGCGTCAGGGCTTCAAATCCCCCATTTGGTCAACTTGACAGGCCTGCTTGGACCTTCAAGAAACAAAGGAGGCCAGATCGCGCCGGTCTGTTGGAGCCAAAAAAGGGAAACCCCCCCCCCCCCCCCCCACCCCCTAAGCCTTCTGGCAGCATAAGTTCTGGGTCTTGAAGCCCTCACAGGGTACGAAGCAAACGCGAAGATCCTCTCGCAGGGTCCAAAACTCCAGTCCGGGTTGAAGCTTTCAATTCGACTTGCTGATTTGACCCATGAGTCCCATGAGACTAATGTTGGACCCTCTGGGCCCCCCCCCCCTCAACAGTCGAGGGCTGGATTAGGCCCTCTATAACCGGGCCCGGGATTTTACATGATTTTAATAGGGATGAGTTTAGAAAGATTTAAAAGGGATGAGCTTATATGAATTTAAAAGGGAGCCGCGCGAATCGAAAAGGGGTCCGGGATGAGTTTATATGAATTTAAAAGGAATCCATATTGGCTGTTTCCAAATTCGGAGCCTCCGTGCCGGGGCCCGGACATTAAAGAGGGCCCCGAAACAGTCCTATTATTGAGGGTCCGAGGGGGCCCCTGGACCACCCCCTTGCCATTGAGGGGGACCATTTTTTCAAAAGGTTTCCTTAAAGGAAAATATTGGTTTCGGGCCGGTTGGAATTCCTTAAATCGGCCTTTGAAATCCTAAGGCCCGGCTTTGAAATCAAAAGGCTCGCCTTTAAGCCCAAACAGCCAGGCATCCAAAATCGGGGCTCCGGGCCGGGGCCCGGACATTAAAGAGGGCGCCGAAACAGTCCCGTTATTGAGGGTCCGAGGGGGCCCCTGGAATACCCCTTGTCGGATTGAACGAAACCAATTTTTCAAATGGTTTCTTAAAGGGAATTAATGGTCACGGGCCGGTTGGAATTCAGGAGGTCGGCCTCCTAAAGAAAAAATGCCGGATTTCGGGAACCGTTTGACTTCAAAGAAGATCCCGCAAACAGCCAGGGGATCCTGAATAATTCGGCCAAATTGACTTTAAAGGGGAGGCCCCTACTAAACAGGGTCCAACATTACTTGATTCAACCAGCTGAATTAACAACTAACTAGATGGAACTTTGCGCCTACCTTGCAAGCCAAATTCATAAGAATTGTTCTGAGGGGTAGATGCTTGGAACCGCTTGGGGGGCGGGGGGGGGGGGGGGGGGGGCGGGACATGGGAAAAAATAGATTACAGAGGCGACGAAGAGATGCTCGCTGCCAAGGGCGTGCGGGGCGGAGCTTGGGGTTGCAAAGGAGGGGTTCAGGACTCCTCTGCGGCGTGTGCGGAAACGGCAGAGCCCTTCAATAACGAACACAATGTTGGTGTTATTGATTTCCAGAATGCTGGGGATCATCGTTTTGCGCCTGCATATCGTTCAGATCAAAATCTACCCAAACATAAACTGTGGATGCGATAGAGCGCAAACCAAGTAGCAGAGCTTTTGCCGTCCGAAGACTGAAGGCCTTTTGCAGTGCCTTACACAAGCTACGATATTGCAAGCCATCTTTTCTCATTTCGCAAGGGCTGCAGTTCCAAGTTCCCACACGTCACGAACATCTCGAGACACCGGATGTTTCAACCCAGCGTCCCGCCCAAAGTCAAAATCTGGCGGCATTGTCCTCCGCGACTGCGTTCAAACAGCTCCATCTATATTTGTGCAGGGTTCAAATCAATTGCACAGCGGGTCTTGCATTGGATGAATTTTGATGTTTCTGGGCCCCATGGTCCTTCACACTATTTCATACTTGTGGAGCTTGGGAAGCGGCAGGACAAACTATGCTCTCAGCTGGCGCTTCTGATGGGAATCAGCGAAGGCCGGGAGATTGTAGATCTACCCCTTGACTTCTGAGATCTTCTTGAAAAAGCCGACCTGCACATTTGCAACAACCGGATCGGGGGAAGGGGTGGGAGGAGAGACCCAAACACCACCGCCTTCACGCTCCCTGGGCCTCGTCGTGCATGCGTTGGGCTTGATTGGCGAGTTTTTGAAAATCCCACACATCACATCTCGAGCTAGCCCAGTAAGACCCTGGAAACCCTGAAGCCTAGGCTTGTCACGCCTTGGGGAAGCAGACCAGGAAGCAGACGGAAATCATGGCTGGCACCTCTGACGAGAGTCGTTGCTCAGAGAGCTTCTCTAAGCATCCGTATTAGGGGCTGGCAGGAATCTTAGAGAAGGGCTGCAGAGGGTTGTTTAGGGCTTCTTAGAGGTTGCAGATTTCCTGGAATTAGGTCGAGGAGAAAGTAGTTCCGAATCCGCCGAGGCCTCAAGCCGAAGGTGTATGGGTTGTGAGAACAGGCACCCCCCTCCAAATCCTCCGCCCTAGCCGAAAGCCACACGTCGGCCCCATTTTTTTGCCTGAAATGGGTACCCCCCGTAGGCGACCACGATCTGAAAGCGGACGGTTCGCCAGGACCAGAAACAGTTGAAGCCCTCCATCCAAAGCCCTTGGATGGAGGCGGCGGGCCCCCCTCCATCCAAAGCCACTCGCCTTGGATGGAGGGGGGGGCCCCCCTGCCCGCCCCCCTCCTTTGCTTTTCGCCAAACCAGTGAAGCGTGAGCCCCCAAAGCCCGCAACCCTAAACTAACCCGGAACCCTAAACCATAAAGCCGGCACCCTAAACCCTAAACCCAACCCTAATTGCTTGGGGTGCAGCGACTTGGGCGCTGCGGAATCACGATGCTCACGCGGATGCGCTGGGCCGGACCGAGGCCGGTCTTGTGCTTGGGCGTTTCAAAGCCAAATGAGGTTAATCCGAATGCTGTCGAGCGTGAACCGCTTCGAGTCCGGGATTCTGATTCTGAGAGTTCTACTATGTGCCATACTATATTAATATGCATCTAGCGATACATCTATGTACGATTGTCATTGTCCGCTGTCCTTAAACAGCGGCGCCATAGCGGACGACTGAATAAGCAATGCAATGCAGGTGTTGCACTTGACCTCTTCTTGGGCACTGACTTTTCTACTCTTCTACGGCTTTCGACATGGCTAGCAAACCATCATTGTCGTTCTGCTGCTCCGAAGGACCGATTTGTGTTCTTGCCTTGCAGTTCTAGTAGCTGCTAGTCCCTTCCACAAGCCTGCCCGCATCCTTCGGCCACAAGTTGCCACCAGGCCACAAACAACGTGTTAGGGACTCCGGCCTTGAGGAACTTACCCGACGCCTACAAATCCAAATCCGGCCTCGGAGTCGGGCGGAATGGCCATGCCGGAGTGAAGGCAGAAGCACTGACCCTGCCTTGGATTGCACTTGCACTTGCACAGTGCACTCGCACGTGGTTCACACACAGACACGCGGCGCGTGGAGCTGAAACCACGAAGCGATGCAGCTTCCCCAAGCACTTGAAACCCGAAAGCCTTTGGCCAAAGGCGCTGCTTGATGCATACCTTGGGCGACTCGAAGCGGATGTCCATGCAGAAGCAGCGGAGCCTTCGATGCCGATCAGGTGACGGTAGAGGAACATGATCTACCCAAGGTGTGAGGGGCGCCACATGCGAGGATCTTGCGAGGTCTCGCCTGCAGCATGCAGTATGAATGGGCCCAAGTGCCTGGATCTGTCTGCTTCTCGGAATGAATGAATGCTCACTCACGAATGCAATCCCGACAAAGTTTTGAAACTTTAGATCGGGCAGACATACACATCAAAATCCCAACACAGAGACTTGCACGGCTTGCACGTCACCAAGTGGCTTGTCAGCGCCACTCTTGAGGCAGAAGTCGCAAGAGAGACAGAGCAGCGTCTCCTCAGGCTTGAGCAGTTGGCGACACGGTCGGATGCGTCTAAGCTGCAACAACAAATGCGGCTATACTACGATGTATCACAATACCTTTGGCGCGCCGCCAAAGGCCACACCTCCGGCGTGATGTATGCCACCCTCACCTTTCTCGAAGGTAATTCGCTTAAAGGGGTCCAACGTGGGCCCGCGCCCTCCCCGGTCTTACCACCCACCCTGCCACCCTCGCTTCTTGCCGTGCCCGTAATTATAGTACTGGAAGAAGGCATGTAGGTCACAAGGTCTCTCTGAAGGAGATCGAGTGCTGTGGGGGCGCAAGTGAGCGTAAGGTATAGAACGAGGAAAGACCGAGAAGAGCGAGACACAATGCTTTGATTGACAGAGAGGGCCCGGAGTTAGTGCTCGAGCAGTTTGAGACCGGCTCTCCTTGGCGGCGCAGCCAATCTCCATGTTCTCAATCTGAATGCCGTTGAAGCAGCCTTTTGACTCAAATTCTCTAAGTCTTCCATTCGTTTGGTGGTTTGGTGGTGGCTGCACTTCGGCTACTGAAGGTCGTCATTTTCTCGGATCTTCGTACCTGCCTTCAAAGATCGAACTGATCACCAGCCGAGGCTGGCAGGCAAGGCAGTAAGCATTGTCGCAATTTCATCTGGGGCTCAGGGCTTTGAGACAACCGAATTATGAAGCAGGGGGCCCAGAACGAGGGGGCATTCATGAGGGTTAGACTATCCACCGTGAACCTGACAGTGCCCTTCGCAGCGAACCAGCAACGAACGCGAGCCATCCCGCCGAATAAAACAACCAGGAAGGACGTACATCTGGCGAAGCGGCAGAAGCAGGCGCCGTACACAATCACCTTCCATGTAGGGGAAGAGCAATCCACGCTAAGGTTTCAAGAGCCCGCTACTCACCTGCGAAGTTTTCACAACACTTGCGAAAGGTCTGAATTTCAATGAAGGCTTGTAAAGACAACGTCCTAAAGCACATTGATTCGGACCTGAGTCTGCCGTCTTAACGATCGTGGCTTCCCTGCAAGCCTTGGACTCGTCGATCGCGGACATGCTCATCTGCGATGGGGCCGACATGGTTCAGAGCTCTTTTCCAAAGGTGGCCCTGCAATCGACGGGTGAGATCTTCGCCCTGGTTCCAAGACGGCTGCAGGCTGCACTTCTCACGCGGAGCAACGATGCGGTCATGCGCATGCCGGTCCGTGCTCTGCCCTCCGCAAACATGACCCTGCCCACTTAGCTTGCCATAGCTGGCTTGCAACAACGGCTCCTTAAGGGCCTTAGGGCCTAATTATGCGGAGAACTCACACATGCACAACAAATACACATTTTCGTCTTCGTTGTGCAAGGATTCAGTTCAGAGCCATTTTGGCTGCCGTTTCTGCTAATAGACACTTCGCGAGGGAAACATGGATCGACATATTCAAGGAATTGATGTTAGGAAGTGGAAACGTCGATATTCTTGTGAAGTAACGAACCGGACCAACTCCATCAAACATACTCCACTCCCCGCACTTCGGAAGGGAAGCTTCGCAGGACCGAGGACGACCCTCGTCTAGCCCTTGACCTCTGAGATCTTCTTGAAAAAGCCGACCTGGCAGCAAAGCACAAGTCGCTGCAGCCACTTCCACGCGAGACAGACCATGCCATGGGTCAGAGGTTCGCGGGGTCTTCGGGGGGTCTGGCTGGAAATCCTAGGACATTCAATCCGACTCACAGCAACAGCAACGCTCCCTCACAAGTAGGGAGCCGTTTAGACGCTCGCAACGCTGCCTTGGGGAAGCAGACCAAGAAACAGACGGAGATCATGGCAGGCACCTCTTGAAGGACAAGCGGCACGTTGCTTGGAAGCTTTGGGGCAACTATGCTCTCGCTTCGCACAGGAAGGTCATGGAACGTCTGCCTAGCAGAACTCTCCCAGTTGCTGGCAGTTGCTGGCAGGCCCTACATGACGCCAGCCCCAAGCGTGCAAGAAACAAAAATGCGAAACCACATCCGCTTAGGGCAACCCTCTTCAAGTGGGACACGAGCAGACAGCCAAAGACGCTGCTGCCATGCTCCATCATGAATACTTTGGCCACCGAGTCTTGTGCAGCTGCTGCCAAAATCTTCAAACGACACAAACGCCATGATGCTGCATTGCCCTTGCCGTCGGCTAGAGGCCCTGCAACTGCAACCCCGAAGGCGTCCCAGAACTCACAAATCCAAATCCGGCCTCGGAGTCGGGTGGAATGGCCATGCCGGAGTGAAGGCAGAAGCACTGACCCTGCCTTGGATTGCACTTGCACTTGCGCAGTGCACTCGCACGTAGTTCACACACAGGCACGCGGCGTGTGGAGCTGGAACCACGAAGCGATGCAGCTTCCCCAAGCACGTGAAACCCGAAAGCCTTTGGCCAAAGGCGCTGCTTGATGCATACCTTGGGCGACTCGAAGCGGATGTCCATGCAGAAGCAGCGGAGCCTTCGATGCCGATAAGCTGACGGTGGAGGAACATGATCTACCCAAGGTGTGAGGGGCGCCACATGCCAGGATCTTGCGAGGTCTCGCCTGCAGCATGCAGTATGAATGGGCCCAAGTGCCTGGATCTGTCTCCTTCTCGGAGTGACATGAATGCAATCCCGACACATTTTCAAAACTTTAGATCGCGGCAAGCACACACGCACACGCACACGCGCGACACACGCACAACACACGCGCATCGGAGACTTGCAAGGCTTGCGGCAGAAGTTCTGGAATGTTCTGGACTTGGGCCCTGCCACGTCAATTCACGTCACCAAGTGACTTGTCAGCGCCACTCTTGAGGCAGAAGTCGCAAGAGAGACAGAGCAGCGTCTCCTCAGGCTTGAGCAGGTGCCGATACGATCGGATGTGCGTCTCAAATGCTAACTGCGGCTATACAACACGTGTACCATACCAGTATACCTTTGGCGCGCCGTCTCCGGCCACACCTCGGGCGTGATGCACGGCACCCTCCCTTCGCGACATGCTCACTCGTTTCGAGATGGAGTATACACTCATGCCTCCCTGTTAGAAATCGAGAGTGCTGGGGGCGCAAGTGAGCATGAGGCATAGAACGAGAAAAAGAAAATGGGGGAGGGAGAGAAAAGGAGAGAGGGAGAGAGAGAGAGAGAGACGGACCCAATTTGCAAACAAATGAGAATAGCTGTCCTTGCCAAGACGGATACACGCGTTGATGCATGGCTTTGGTAGCTCGCAGTCTGACACCGCAGCCCCAACTTTTGACCCCAAGCTATCGACTCACTCCTTGGCGGCGCAGCCAATCTCCGGGTTCTCAATCTGAATGCCGTTGAAGCAGCCTTGATCCGATTCAAGGGACACAAAACTTCGGAAGAAGCTGCAGGGGCCACGATCTCTTCGGTGTGCTGTAGCACCACTGGGTTGACCGTTCGACTCCTTTGAAAAGTCTTTGTGGGGTCCCCTGAACCTTGAACGCCAAAGGCCGACCCTAAACAACAGCGCAGCGCCTCGTTCGAACAACAGCTGGATTTACATCACGGCTGTCGGGGTTCTGCATCGTGAAAACTGTGAACCCTGAACTTGACAACATGTTGGCTTCAGAGTATTCAATGAGTATTCTCGTGGGCTCACTAGTCTCGGGTCCTCGGAAGGAGCTGTGACCTAGGACCTAGGAAGACTGCCACAACAAGCGCGGAGCCCCCAACCACAACCGAAAGCCCGAAGCCACGAAATGCCACGAATATCAAGTACCGCCGGAGCGGCAGAAGCAGGCGCCGTACACGATCACCTTCCGCACGGAGGTAGGAAGAGCAACCGAGGCTCAACTTGGGAAAGAGACGGCGCCAAGGCGCCAAACAGCCCGACGCTTCAGACTTTGGGACTACAGAGTCTCTACTTTCGTTGAATTTTCAGATGCCCTTCAAAAAGACTGAATCCTACGCGCCGCCTTGGACTCGTCGATCGCGGACATGCTCATCTGCGATGGGGCCGACATGTTTCAAAGACTTTCCACAGGTGACCCTGCAACGGGTGAGATCTGCTCCCTGGTTCCAAGACGGCTGCAGGATGCGACGATGCGGTCATGCGCATGCCGTGCTCTGCCCTCCGCATGCTCCGCATACATGACCCTGCCCACTTAGCTTGCTATAGTCGGTTGGCAACAGCTCCTGAATGCGGATGCGGAGAACACACATCATCAACAAGTCAACAAAATCATGGGGCAGGTGGCAGGCGCGAATGCACTTTTGGCTTCGCTGCGCAGGGATTCAGTTCAGAGAGCTATTTCGGCCGCCGTTTCTGCAGCAGACACTCGGGAAGGAGACATGGACCGACATGCGCCGCATGCTCCTACTTCTAAGCGTATTCAAGGAATTAATGTTAGGAATTGGAACGTCGATATTCTTGTGAACTAACGAACCGGACCAACTCCATCAAACATACTCCACTCCCCGCACTTCGGAAGGGAAGCTTCGCAGGACCGAGGACGACCCTCGTCTAGCCCTTGACCTCTGAGATCTTCTTGAAGAAGCCGACCTGGCAGTAAAGCACAAGTCGCTGCAGCCACTTCCACGCGAGACAGACCATGCCATAGGTCAGAGGTTCGCGGGGTCTTCGGGGGTCTGGCTGGAAATCCTAGGACAATCCGACTCACAGCAACAGCAACGCTGCCTTGGGGAAGCAGACCAAGAAACAGACGGAGATCATGGCAGGCACCTCTCGAAGGACAAGCGGCACGTTGCTTGGAAGCTTTGGGGCAACTATGCTCTCGCTTCGCACAGGAAGGTCATGGAACGTCTGCCTAGCAGAACTCTCCCAGTTGCTGGCAGGCCCTACATGATGCCAGGCCCAAGCGTGCAAGAAACAAAATGCGAAACCACATCCGCTTAGGGCAACCCTCTTCAAGTGGGACACGAGCAGACAGCCAAAGACGCTGCTGCCAAAATCTTCAAACGACACAAACGCCGTGATGCTGCATTGCCCTTGCCGTCGGCTAGAGGCCCTGCAACTGCAACCCCGAAGGCGTCCCAGAACTCACAAATCCAAATCCGGCCTCGGAGTCGGGTGGAATGGCCATGCCGGAGTGAAGGCAGAAGCACTGACCCTGCCTTGGATTGCACTTGCACTTGCGCAGTGCACTCGCACGTGGTTCACACACAGGCACGCGGCGTGTGGAGCTGGAACCACGAAGCGATGCAGCTTCCCCAAGCACGTGAAACCCGAAAGCCTTTGGCCAAAGGCGCTGCTTGATGCATACCTTGGGCGACTCGAAGCGGATGTCCATGCAGAAGCAGCGGAGCCTTCGATGCCGATAAGCTGACGGTGGAGGAACATGATCTACCCAAGGTGTGAGGGGCGCCACATGCGATCTGTCTCCTTCTCGGAGTGACATGAATGCAATCCCGACACATTTTCAAAAATTTAGATCGCGGCAAGCACACACGCACACGCACACGCACGACACACGCACACACACACACACACACACACACACAAACACACAAAACCCACGCACAACACACGCGCATCGGAGACTTGCAAGGCTTGCGGTGGACGTTCTGGAATGTTCTGGACTTGGGCCCTGCCACGTCAATTCACGTCACCAAGTGACTTGTCAGCGCCACTCTTGAGGCAGAAGTCGCAAGAGAGACAGAGCAGCGTCTCCTCAGGCTTGAGCAGGTGCCGATACGATCGGATGTGCGTCTCAGATGCTAACTGCGGCTATACAACACGTGTACCATACCAGTATACCTTTGGCGCGCCGTCTCCGGCCACACCTCGGGCGTGATGCACGGCACCCTCCCTTCGCGCCATGCTCACTCGTTTTGAGATGGAGTATACACTCATGCCTCCCTGTTAGAAATCGAGAGTGCTGGGGGCGCAAGTGAGCATGAGGCATAGAACGAGAAAAAGAAAATGGGGGAGGGAGAGAAAAGGAGAGAGGGAGAGAGAGAGAGAGAGACGGACCCAATTTGCAAACAAATGAGAATAGCTGTCCTTGCCAAGACGGATACGCGCGTTGATGCATGGCTTTGGTAGCTCGCAGTCTGACACCGCAGCCCCAACTTTTGACCCCAAGCTATCGACTCACTCCTTGGC